CTCTCCTCGGGGTCTAAGAGGGCTGTCAATTGCTGAAGCAATCTCCGGCCAGCCTCATCCACTCACACACTACAGATGTGGGCTGATCGTGTGACCAGCTTTCGTGCTTGTCCAGGACCGAGGGATTTCCTGGGATGGGGGACTTTCAGAACGAAAACCAGGGAAGTCTCGGCAAGCCAGGCTGAGTTGCTCATCCTGTGTGTGTCTCCGACTGTTTGGTTTGTGACCTCTAGGATGCAGACGTGACCCTGGAAGAGAGGAAGCAGGGGCATGGGGTAGGAAGGGCTGCCCTCTCCCAGGCAAAACCCCCTCGTTTTCTGAAGGAGTCGGTGCTTGACATTATCCTTATGACCCAACAGCAGTCAGATAAGAGAGTGGAGGTCGGGCAGGCTTGGGGATTTGTCCAAATGTCTCCACTCTAGTGGACAGCGGACATCTGGACATACCGAGACGCCTACAGGGGAAAGTCCAGGATGCTTGTCACTGGGTGGCAGCCTCTGGTGGAGTTGGAGGGAAGGAATCATTTCCTGAGGTCCACCTGACACATGGGCTTCACTTTTCAGATGAAGGCTTAGATGCTTCACTTTCCACCGGATGTCTGCCTGCGATCACCACTACCAGCAACATGCCCATTGCACAGATGAGGTGGTTGAGGCTCAGAGAGATGAAGTGACTTGCTTAGGTTTTTTTTTTTGTAGTACTTAACTTACTTATGGCTGTGCGGAGTCTTTATTGCCACACACAGCAATGATGTAACAAGTGGGGGCTACTCTCTAGTTGCAGTGTGCAGGCTTTTCTTATTGTGGTGGCTTCCCTTGTGGAGCACAAGCTCAAGGGCACACAGACTTCAGCAGTTGTGGCTCACGGACTCGGTTACCCTGCTGCATGTGGGAACTTCCCGGACCAGGGATCGAATCTGTGTCCCCTGCGTTGGCGGGTAGATTCTTAATCGCTGGACAACCAGGGAAGTCCTTGCTTAGGTTCCATACAGCAAGTGAGTGGGCAATGTTGGGGTTTGAACCTGGTCCTCAACCCTTCCTCACGGGCTGAGGGGTCACCCTTAGAGCCGTCTTCCCTCCTCTTTATTCTTGAGGCCACACCAGCCCTGCCCTCTGCAGGGCCCTGTCAGTCCTCACGGGTCAGGAGAGTTTGGGATTTTTCTACTACTTTTCAGAGCCTGCCTGTTCCTGCAATATGCCATAACTGGAGAGCTGAATCCTCTAGTAGCCTGATAAGCATAGAAAGGCTGAGCTGTTTAAAAAAAGAAAAAGCAAAACTAACGAGAAGTGACATTTTTGAATGCTCCCCGGAGTCAAGGTGCTTTGGAAGCCCGATGACCTCATGTAGTCCTCAGCACAGCCATAACTTGAACTCATCTTAGTTGGGGAAGGTTTTGACTGCAAGTAAGAGAAAATCTGACTCATGGTGTCCTCAGCAGCACAGGCGTTTGATTATCTCATTAAACAAGAAGTCTGGAGGTGAGTGGTTCCAGGAACGGTTCTTTGGCACCTCTGGTTTGGGGTTCTATCATTTTCCTGGCCTTCCCAGGAAATGTCCCCATCACAAATGCCTTACACAATGGCCCCCCAAAGATAAGGAGGCGAGTAAGGAGGAAAGAATTCCCGGAAGCCCCCAACAAATGTCCAGATGGTGCCCACATGGCCACCCTTGACCGAGTCTCTGTCTAAGAGGGATGTTCCTGGCTGCCTCAGGCCGACGCTGGTTCACTCCGTGGGAACGGGAGCGGGGCCATCTCCCTAAACACCTGTTTGATTCCTGAACAAAATCAGATTTCACTAGATTCCACTCGAGAGGGAGAAGCCCCCAAATGTTCTTTTCTCTTTGGTACGTGAGCCGCTGACCTCCTTCAGGCGGGGGGTGGGGGTGTCCCTGGGCTGAGAGGGGAAGAAGGACATCTTATTGCTGGGGGAGGGATTTGGGCTGAGGCGATGGTGGTTTGCACTCCAGGGTGTGGGATTGCAGAGATAACATTTATTGAGCACCTACTGTGTACCAGGCCCTGTGCTGAGGGATTTCATTCCCTCATCATTTAACTCAGCCCTTACAATAGTCTTATGAGGCAGGAACTGTCCTTCCCGTTTTTCAGACCAGAAAACCAAGACCAAGCCTTGATCTCATATGGTGAGAGGCTGGGCTGGAATAAGTGCTAATGGCAACCGACTCCCACTAATGCTCTCCAAGGGTCCGGCACCTGATAGGCGCGCCAGCTGGATGAGGTCACCTCCTCCTCACCTCATCCCCATTTCACCCATGAAGCCACCTCAGCGCGAGGATGAAGCGCAGACCACCTGGGGTCACCTTGTTTAGCACTTGCCCAGATAAGCTGTGAACCCCGTTGCCAGAAGGCCGCCCCGTGGGGCTCCCCAAATTTGGAGAAAACCCTCCAGGGCCCGTTCCATGGCCTTTTTGGGATTATTGGCTTCGCCAGCGGGTAAGCTGGATAAATAAACAAGTGGTTCAAGAAACTCCTTTTGACTCTTGATGTTCTAAATCTGCTGGAGGCCACACGAGGGTCATCCAACTGCCTTGACAGCCGACATTAAACAGGCAAATAAATGAATCTTTAATAAGATAGCAGGAAATGTTAAGCCCTGTCAAGAAAAACAAACCGGTTCAAGGCAACAGACAGGATGGATGGGGCTGCTCGAGAGCAGAGAGGCAGACAGGGAGGGCCTCTCTGAGGAGATGACAACTGAGCAGAGACGGAGGGGTGAAGGGTGCAGTGCAAGGAGCCAGCTGTGCGCAGATCTGAGAGGAGCGTTGTGGCCAGAGGGAGGAGGGAGTGCAAAGGCCCTGAGGTGGGAGTGACTCTGGCAGGAGGTGGGTGTGCTCGGAGCAGAGCCAGGAGAGGAGGGCAGGGGGGTGACAGTGGGCGGGGCAGCTCAGAGTCCTTTCAGGACCCTGTGCGCTTAGCGACATGGAGCCGTGGAGGTCCTGAGCAGGCTTCAGCAGAGGATCTGACTGAGGTTCTAGAAGAGTCCTTCTGACTACTGTAAGGAGAATGAATTGCAGAGAGATGAGGGCAGAAGCCAGGGGGCCAGGGAAGAGCAACAGTTCCTCCAAGGGGCTATCAGTAAGATGAAAGGAAACACCCAGCAGTGAGGGGCAGACACAGGGTTAGAGCCAGACCTCCTGGGTCCCACCTCCACGCTCTGCCCCACGGCCTCAGAAAGCTCACATGCATATAGCACTCCCAGTTTGCAGTTCCCTTTACTGGCAAGCTCTCGTGGATTCTTCACAGCAACTCGTCAAGGTAAAGTACAACTCTGACCTCTCCGTCCCCAGATACGGACATGGCTTAAGAGAGGTGAAGTTCCCTGGCCAAGGTTAGTGTTAGTCTCTCCGTCGTGTCCAACTCTTTGTGACCCCATGGACTGTAGCCCACCAGGCTCCTCTGTTCATGGAATTTTCCAGACAAGAACACTGGAGTGGGTTGCCATTCCCTTCTCCAGGGGATCTTCCCAACCCAGGGATTAAACCCGGGTCTCATGCACTGCAGGAAGATTCTTTACCATCTGAGCCCCCAGGGAAGCCGAGGTTTCCCAGGTGTAAACGGGGTGGGCGGTGTGTAGGGAGTGGCCGACTGAGGGCCAGGCCGTCCGCTGGGAGCCCAGGCCCTCGCCAGCGCCCGGGGTGGTCTCCAACAGAGACACTGGCACCAGAGACCATCACTGCGTGTGCTCCGTTGTATCCCATTCTCTGTGACCTCATGGACTGCAGCCCACCAGGCTCTTCTGCCCATGGGGTTTCCCAGGCAAGAATGCTGGAGGGGCTTACCATTTCCTCCTCCAGGGGATCTTCCTGACCCAGGGATCGAACCTGTGTCTCCTGCACTGGCAGGTGGACTCTTTACCACCGGGCCACCTGGGAAGCCCGGCCAGCACTCTAAGCACCAGGTAATGGTGACAATGGCCACCGTATTCTGAGTGTGTGCTGTGCTCCAGGAACAGGTGGTGGACTCAGGCTCACTGGTTGGTCCATTACAACAATTGTGAATGGGGGACTCAGAGCCAGACGCCCTGAGCTCTTGCGTCCCCTCCACTGTAGTTCAGTTCAATTCAGTTCAGCCACTCACTCGTGTCGGACTCTCTGTGACCCCATGGACTGCAGCACGCCAGCCCTCCTTGTCCATCACCAACTCCTCGAGCTTACTCAAACTCATGTCCATTGAGTCGGTGATGCCATCCAGCCATCTCATCCTCTGTGGTCCCCTCTCCTCCCGCCTTCAATCTTTCCCGGCATCAGGGTCTCTTCCAGTGAGTTAGGTCTTTGCAATCAGGTGGCCAAAGTATTACTGAAGGCAATATAGGGGAGGTATAATCCAGCCCAACCCCAATGCCCTTGGACCAACAGAACAGAATAGAATTAATGGTCTCTAGCCCTTCTGGGGTGGGGATGGGATGGGGGGGCGAGGGGAGGGCAGGGGGAGAGTCTTCCGTGGTGGCGGATACTTAGGTGGAGGGAGGAGGAAAGGCCCCCCTCCTGCCCCTCCCACTTCTGTCTCTCCTGTCCCACCATGGGACCCCTCATCGTAGCACTTGCCTCTCTATCCCCGCCACCCCTCCGTCCCCCCATACTCCTTCCCTTCCTCTTCTCCGGGCCCCCCATTCCTGCTCAACAACCCCCCCGCAGGATCCCTCCCTCCCTGTAGTCCCCCGTCTCTCCTGCATCACCCCTCCCGTCGTCCGCCTTCCCTTCCAGCTCGCATCTCCCCTCTCCGGCGGCCGCACTTTCCGCAGCTCCTCCGCCCAAGCCCCCTCTCCCGGGCCAGCGGGTGGCAGCCTGCCACCTGGAGCTGAGCCCGGGAGCGACCCCACCCGCCCTGGGGACCCTGGAGCTCTCGCGGGCCCCGCCCCCGGCGGGTGGGCGGGGCGTGGGCTGGGGGCGGGGTCGGCCCCGGGAAGGGGCCCCTTTGGCCCCCGAGGCCCCCGAGCCAGCCTCCCGCGCTCCGCCGCCTCAGCCTGGACGCCAGCCCTGCCATGTCCTGGGCCGTGGTCTTCGGCCTCCTGGCCGCGCTGCTGTTGCTGCTGCTGCTGACCCGCCGGCGCACGCGGTGAGTGCCGCCTAAGCCGGCCAGGTCCCGGCTCCCCCCACGACTCGGCCGGCCCGCGCGGCCCCGGGCTAGACAAAGGGGCGTCTCCGCTCGGGCGCGCGCCCCCCGGCTGCAGCCAGGAGGTCGCGAGCCCGCTCAGGCCCGTGTCGGAGCCCCCCACCCCCGCTCCAGTTCCCCCGGCTGGAGGGGGTCACCTTCCCACCGTCCTTTCTATCCCCCAGGCGAGCCTGGAGGTGGGGGTCCAGGTGCCGGGCAAGGGGACTTCTGCGCTCACCTCCCGCCCCGGGGAGGGGGCCGGCCCCAAAGTTGGGGAGATGCGCGCGGGAAGGTGCGGGGACAGGGTTCCCAGAGGGCTGATGACCCACCGCACACACTAACAGGGCTGGACCGCAAGAAGCTCAGGCCTGGCCCAGAGCTCAGCGCCAGTACCTGAGAAGGGGTTTGAGTGAGAACCGGGGTGCAGAGTGGGTGTGTGGACACGCTCCGTGTGACTCCCGGTGGAAGAAGCCGTCTCCTGCCCTTGACCCTGTGGCTGCGTCCTGCACCAACTCCGCATCAGCCCCCAGCCCTGCTCTCAGCAGCGTGTGGGCAGCCTGTTCTTCACCCCATTACAACGGATGGCAGTTGAGGCCAGGAAGGCCGCGCCCCGAAGGATGCACTCTTACCGGGCCTGGAACCACCTTTCACAGGATTCCTCGACTCAGGGGAAGGGGCTGAGTAGTCTCGTGTTTCCTAATGCCTGAGAAACTCACTCTGGGAAAGGAGGCTCCCTTCTGCTGAGGTCTATAGCCTGGGCAGAGTAGGAGAACCAAGTGTCTCAGCTTCCTAGTCTTAAGGATTCTCCTGCTCCTTTGACAATCTGCCATTTAGGAGAAAAGTAAGATTTAAATGGAGGAGACGGCAGTCAGTCTTTCTCTTTAAAAAATGTTTAAAGGATTAATTTGAATTGAACAAGGAATTACATTTGATTTAAGCATTTATCCCATTATAGATAAGACTGAAGCCCTTCTAACTACCCTCCCAACAATTCAGTACCTCTCCTGTTGATTAACTTGGGAGGAACCTTCCAGATCATTTTAAAAGTACGCCTTTTATTTTGCATTGGTTTTATAGTACTAGGAAAGTTGTACTAAGAGTTCCCAGATACCCTTCACCAAATTCCAGCTATTGTTAGTGGCGTATGTTATCGTGGTACAATCATTAAAGCTAAAAAAACCAACACTGGCCTGGTACAATTAGCCAGACTCCAAGCTTTATTTGAATTTCGTCTGTTTTTCCATTGATGTCTTCTTTCCGTGCCAGGATCTCATCCAGATGCCTCGGTGCCTCAGGTTGTCATACCCCTTCAGCCTCCCTGCCTTCCTCACCCACGTAGACGTCTGCCCGTAGATAACTCAGGGCCGTGAAAGTGTGTGTGTTTAAATCAGCATGTCTGAAGCTTGCAGACATTTTCCGGAAACCTTTTAGTTTTGAACAGTGTGTTGGTTGGATTTCCAAACAGTGATCTCACCGTAGTTTTCTTCAACCTCTAGACATCTTTCCAGGTGAAACTTAAAACATACATTCAATCATTTGCCTGGAAAAATGAAAAAGAAAAAAAGACCACAGATAAGTTTCCCTATGGATTATGAATTATTTTTCCTAAGTTGTCAGGCTTTTTGGAAATGCTGTAAAGAGTTGTTTTCAGACTGTACCTTTGCTGTTTCCCTCTAGATTTTCGTTTTGACATCTGTCCATGTAGTTCTATGGACTTCCCTGGTGGCTTAGCTGGTAAAGAATCCGCCTGCAATGCAGGAGACCTGGGTTCAATCCCTGGGTTGGAAAGATCCCCTGGAGAAGGGAAAGGCTACCACTCCAGTATTCTGGCCTGGAGAATTCCACGGACTGTATAGTCCATGGGGTCGCAAAGAGTTGGACACGACTGAGCAACTTTCACATGTAGCTCTATGGTGGTTATTAGGGTCACTGACAGCTGGTGGGGAGCATTATGTAGACCATGGGGGGCAGTTGCTTGGACCCTTGGAAGACCCCACAGGGACCCCAATTAAGACCCCCAGTCTCATTTTCTTCTTCCAGCTCAGCAAGGGGGCACTCTTGTTACCCCTGTTTTACAGAGGAGGAAACTGAGACTCAGAGAGGCTGCACACACAGTTCCAGATTTCCTGCTTCTCCCGTGGCACTTGCCTGGGACTCAGCAGCAGAACCCTCTCTAAACCTTGCCGCAGTCCCCACCACTCCCTATTGCCTCTCCAACACACAACTTTTCTACTTATCGCTGTGCTTACTCTACTGTTTCTTTCTTTTTTTTTTATTATGCTGAGAAACAATTCTATGAATCTGTGTCCATTGCAAAAATGGGGAGACAAGCTAGAGCCAGACAGCCATGTGGTTTTTCTACACCCTGGAGGCAATGAGAGGGAAAAGTGGAAGAGGGTTAGCGGAACCCTTGGTGAGCAGCCAACAGCTTGCAAATGAGTCCTGGGGAAGGAATGGGTTAAGCAGTTTAAATAGAAGCTCAGGAGGTTCCAACTCAACTGGGCAGCAAACAGCCTCTCTGGTCCTCCATGAAGTCCTCCCCGAGGCGCTGAAGGAGTTGAGACTCCTGAGCAGAGAAGTCCGGCAATCCACCCACCCACACTGCTCAGCTAAATGAGCAGCCTCTGCTCTGGACCATCCAGAACGTGGGCTGTGTGTCAGGCGCCTGACCTGCACTAGCTCCCCGAACCCTCTTTCAAGTCCGGGAGGCAGGTGCTGCTCATTGAGGACCAGCTGTGTGCTTGACTCATCCATCTGAGACATATGCATTAAGTGCCTACTATGTCCCAGACAGAGAAGGAAATGGCAACCCACTCCAGTATTCCCACTGTTCTCAGTACTAGGTCTACAAGAAGTGTCCACCTTCTGTACAGAAAGGATGGGATACATCAAGGGGCCCAAAGGTGGATGATATCCAGGCATGACTTCCTCCCTGATTCTCTCAAAGTTTCAAGGGGAGAGAGGGACAGGACAGGATGTGGGATTGGCGGCAGGGTCTCTGAGCAAAGAATGAGCAGGTTTTGAGGAACTCCTGTGGTGAGAATCAAGCCTCCCAGGAGGATCAGAAGAGCTGCTTCCGTATCTGAGCCGGGAAGGGCAGGCAGTGGTCCGCCAAGTGGGCCGAAGCTGCAGATGAGAGGGTCAGGCCCCCCAGGGCCTGGCAGTGCCTCAAATCAGTGAGAGTGTCAGTGGGCGAAGCCAGAGGCCGCAGACCCCAGAATAGAGCCTCCTGCGCCCTGCTGGCCCCTGGCTGAGTCACCCTGGAATGTGACTGGGGCCCAAGTTGGATTCCAAGCCCGTGGGCTGAAGGAGCCTCTGGCACTTCAAGGGTCAGACGCCTGGGCCCCCAGCTTCCTGCCTTTGTCTGCGCCTCCTCGGGACTTCTCTGGGGAAAGATGAGTGATGCCAGCAATAACAGTGGGCCCGCTGCGGAGCTCCGGCAAAGCCGGAGTGAAAGGCATGGAAAGGAAGCGCCACCCACACACCAAAAGATGTTGGGCAGAAACCTCCTCCTGCATCTGGGCAGGTTGCTGAAACTTCTCTGTGTCTCAGTCTCCTCACTGGAAAAGTGGGGGTCCATGTGGCCCCTTGGGGCGACTTGAGGCTAGGGTCGCACGAAGACTGCCTGGATTAGAGACCTAGACCCTCCACGGTGGGCCCTCGAGCAAGTGGCTTAGCCCCTTCTGGGCCTCAGTTTCATCTGCTGTAAAATGGGCTTGATAGGAATACTTCCTTCCACAAGTGATACTGAAAGGTTGTTGCTGAACCACGAAAAGATTCTTGACCTCCGGGGGAGAAGAATCCAATCCAGGGCCAGAGACGAGGCTTGATCGCTCAGACCTTTTGTGTAATAAAGTTTTATTAGAGCACCAAGCAATTAGACCTATTGTGGAATGCAGCGTCGGAATGAGCCCAGGACAGGAAGGCGTTGTTGTGAGGGTCAAATGGCAGACTCAGGGCTTTTGGAGTCAGCAGAAGTAGGCTCACATAGATTATCAGGCTCATCTGAAAAATACAAAGTCAGAAAGTAAAGACATAAAATGACATCACTTAGTTCTGGTCAAGGTACCACCTTTTAACTAGAGTGTGATGCACCCACGAATCAATTCCTGGCACTTTGACAGCGGTGGGAAAAGAAAGAATAACCTGGTAAGGGCCTATCCCAGAGAGGCCCGAGAGATTGGCCCCCAGATCCCAATGTTTTTATCAGGACCTCGGTTCCTGACTCAAACAGAGGCTTACTTGACTCAGAGGCTGGGTCAGGAGCCATCTCCTGGAGTTCAGTTAGTGCCTGTTGAAACGCTGAGAGCTGAGTTACATAATTAGTTAATTCTAAGGCTTTAGGAAAACTTTTCCATTGAGGCATTTTCAGGAATCACTAATCATCCATCCTTGGACTGTAACCATCCTTTATCAGTCATCTTTGCTCCTCTTTTCTCATATCTTGCTAATTCTTCCTCAGTGTACTGTGGTTTTTCCTGTTCACAGCTCCTGTCCAGATCAAAGGCATCTGCAGTGAGGGGTTTCATAAAGTGCCACTTCTCTGGCTTGACAGTCAGTCAGCTGATTACCTTCAGCTTCTTTATTCCCGCCCCTGCTGTGCCCTTTGCAGTGCATAACAGTTACTTTTTTCGGACAATATATAGCAGCTAAAAGTCTCTGGAACTCTCGGAAATGCTTAGTAGGTTCTCCTGTTGCCAGTTGTAAACTTTCTTTCCATATTGCAGCATGAGCATGTAAAGTCAAATAAGCATATTTAGAATCAGTGTAGATATTTGCTCGCTGCCCTTTGCTCAACTCTAGAGCTCGGGTCAGAGCCACAAGCTCCGCTAACTGAGCCCTGGTTCCCTGGGGGAGAGATTTTGCTTCTAAAACTTGTTCATCCATCACCACAGCGTAACCTGCTTTACGCTTCCCCTCCCAAACAAAAGAACTGGCATCTGTAAATATTTCCATGTCAGGATTGTCTAATGGGGTATCCATTAGATCTTCCCGAGCTGCATAGTTTAAAGGTAGGAATTGGGAACAATCGTGATCAGGTGTTTCATTTTCCTTTTCAGGAAGCAAAGTGGCAGGATTTAAATTTCCACAAACTTTAAGCTTAGTTGCTGGTCCTTCTAACAACAATGACTGATATTTAAGAAGCCTACTGTCTATATCGTCCAAGTATTAACCTAAGATTCCACTCCCATTATGAGAAGTCAATACAGTAAGATTTCATCCATGAATTATTTTTAAAGCCTCAGGTGTTAATAAAGCTGTTGCCCCAATTACCCTTAGACAGTGTGGTCACCCATGTGAAATTATGTCTAATTATCTGCTTAGATAAGCAATAGGTTGCAGTTGAGGCCCTTGAGGATGTGTCTAAACTCCCAAGGCCATACCTTTTCTTTCAGTGACAAGCAAATTAAATTCTGACCCTGTGGGCAAGCTCAAAGCTGGAGCTTGCGGGAAAGCAGTCTGAAGAACCTTAAAATCCTTTTGAGTATCTCAAGACCAAACCAGTTTGTCGGTTTGGGCCTGCTGAGTCTCAGCTATAAGTTTATATAAAGGCCGGGCAAGTTCCCCATAGCCCGGAATCCAAACGCGACAGTAGCCTGTGATTCCCCCAAACCCTCTCAATTGTCTTAAAGTCATAGGTAGGGGATGATTGAGCATAGGTTTAATTCTTTCGGGGCCTATGGCCCTAGTCCCTTTTGATATGATTAGGCCCAGATATCTAACAGATTGTTGACAAAGCTGAGCCTTTTCTCTTGATGCCTTGTAACTGCAGCCTGCCAGAAAGTTTGAGAAATCTTCTGAGGCTTGTGAGCAAGCTTCCTCTGTCTCAGCACAGAGCAGAATATTATCTGCATATTGTAGTACCATTGCTTCAGAGCTTCTCATCAACCTGCCTAGGAATTGACTCTCAATACCAGTGAGCCTCAGGGCGCATCAGGCATCAGCCATTATTACGAAGCAAGGAAACTTTTGGAAAATTCATGCTGTTGTTGTTTAGTCGTTCAGTTGCATCTGAATGTTTTGTAACCACATGGACTGAAGCCCACCAGGACCCTCTGTTCGTGGGATTTTCCAGGCAAGAACACTGGAGCGGGCTGCCGTTTCCTTCTTCAGGGGATCTTCCCAGCCAGGATGAAACCTGCGTCTCCTGCACTGGCAGGCGGGTTCTGTACCACTGAGCCCCCAGGGAAGACCCCTTGGAGAATGCATAGGACCTGCCATATAGCCGATGCTCAAGGAATGACACCCTAGAGCCATGTTGGTCCTGCTTCTCAGACTCGCTCCAGCTGCCCTCTGGTTGCCAGGTGCCAGGCACTGTTCTGTAACCCCCTTCATCTTTGTCACAGCCCGATGTGGGCAGTAGTGTCAACACTCCTATTTTACAGACGAGGAAGTGGGCAGGGAGAAGCAAAGTCTCGTGGCCAGCAAGAAGCAGCGCTGGTTGGAAGCCAGGCGGTCTGGTGCTCAAGTCGGGCCCCTGACCTGTCCCGTCCCCTCCGAACCCCCGCTCTGGTGCAAAAGTCTTGGTCCTTGGACCCCGACCTGGGCTGGGCGGGGCTGGTGCACACTGGGCCCCTCCCACCCGTGCTCTGCCGTCCCGGAAACGGAGCCTTCAGGAGAAGCTGGCTCCCAGAGAGATGAGGGGCGCACAGAAGGGTGCTGGCCTCTCCTCCGCACCCCCTGGGAGTCCCAGAGCTGCTCCTTTGCGAGTCTGCTCCGTGAGGGGCTTGGGCAGGGTGGGGTGGGGAGAGCAGGCGGTCGGTGGGGAGGTGCCTGCTGCCCTGCACCCTCACCTCTGCTGGGGCTTCCAGACTGCAGCCCTCCAGTCTAGCCAGTCTCTCCGTCCACCACCCGTCTCCCCATCCGCGTTATGTTGGGGGACAGTCAGACCGAGGAGGCAAGAGGCCATGGGGGAGGAAGGTAGACCAGGATGGGGAAAAGGGTGAAGGGAAGGTGGTCCTCCCTGGTCTGCTGGGCATGGCACCAAAGCCCCTGACCTGGGAGCCGGGGAGTCGGATGCTAGGCCTGGCTCGTGAGGGACCGCAGACTCTACTCCCACCTATGTTGATTTAGTCTCCTGACACGTCTTCCTCCTGCCTGTTGCTCTTGCAGCTTTTTCGCAGGGAGTGGGGTGTGTTGCGTGGCGTACACCGTCTTAGTATCTTAGTTCCCCGACCAGGGATCGAACCTGTGTCCTATGCAGTGAAAGTGCCGAGTCCTAACCACTGGACAGTCAGGGAATTCCCTCTTGCAACCCTTTAAAAGCATAATCACATTACTTCCTCAATCCTATTTCAAACCCTCCAGAGGGTCTCCATCACACTTGAAATAAAAGCCAGACTCTCTCCTTGGCCACTGGCCCTTCTGGCCCACAGGTCATCTCCAGCCTCAGCCCCACAGTCTTCTCCATGCCAGCCACATGGGCTCCTGCTGCCTTGAGAGCCTCACCGTGTGTGGTCCTACCCCAGGGCCTTTGCACTTGCTGTCCCCTCTGCCTATAAAGTTCACCCCTCTCTTTCTTCAGGTCTCTGGTCACCTGGCGCCTCCTTGGAGAGACCCTCCCTGACCACCATCTGTGAACTAGTCCTCTCACTGTGTCATAGCACCTTCCTTTTTTCTTTAATGAGATAACAGTTCATCTGCTATAAAATTCAGTCTTTCAAAACATATAACGAATCATATGTTTTCAGTATCGTTTTTAGCAGAGGTTTTTAGTACTGTCCCCAGTGGTGTGGCCATCACCGCTATCTAACTCCAGAGTATTTTCATTTCTCCAAAAAGAAACCTGGTCCCCATGAGCTGTCCCCCTCCATTCCCCTCTCCCCTCAGACCCTGGAGACCACAAATCTACCTTCCCTCTCCATTAGTCTGCCTTTTCGGGACATTCCATGGAAATAGACTCACACACTGCGTGGCCTTTTGTGTCTGGCTTCTTTTGCTCAGCATGGTGGTTGCGAGCTGATTCCACATTGTGGCAAGAATCTGGACTCCCCTCCTTTTCATGACTGCATAATGTTCCACGGCATGAATACACCAGGTTGTGTTTATCCATTCATCAGTCAGTGGGCATTTGGTTTGGCTCCACTTTGGGGCTGTTATGATTAATGTTACTATGAAACAACAGTGTGTGTTTTGATGTATGAGCATGTGTTTTCAGTTCTTTGGGATCTATTGCTGGGTCGGTCATATAGTCACTCTTCTTTTCAAGAAACTGCCAGTTTAGTTTCTGGAGCAGCTGCACCATTGTACATTCCCACCAGAAATGTATGAGGATTCCATCTCTCCACATTCTTGCCAGCCCTTATTTTCCTTTTTTTTGTTTTGTTTTTTTATAATTATGGCCATCTTAGTGGATTTGAAGTGGTATTGCATGTTGTTTTGATTTGCATTTCCCCGGTGATTCATGATGTGGGTGTTTTTTTCATGTGCTTACTGACCATTTGTGTATCTTCCTTGGAGAACTGTCTATTCAGACTCCTCTGTGTGTTTTTAAATTGGGTTATTCGTTTTGTTCGTTGCCATGCTCTCCAACCTCATCCGCTCTTGGTGGGCATGACAGGAAGTGTGAGATGGCTAGGACCCTGGTCCTTGCTGGCTCAAACAGAAAGCTCTGTATCCTTACACACCTGCAGGGAGATGACCACCTTGATTGGACCCCCTGATACGTACCAACATCAACTGGTCCCCCAGCTCTTGCTCTCAGCCCCTGTGGCCCATTCCCTACTCAGCAGTAAAAGGAATCTTGTAAAAGCCTGAGCCAAATCCTGTCCCTCGCCTGCTCCAAGCTCACCTGGCACCCACCTCACTCAGAGAAAAAGCTAAAGACCCCAGAGTTGCCTCCAAGGCCCCATGTGGCCTGGCCTCTGTTACCACTCTGGCTCAACTTCCGCTACTTCTTGCCTCTGCCAATCCAGCCACACTGGCCCCCTCACTGTTTCTGAACACACCAGGCCTGATCCAACCTCAGGGCCGTTGCACTTGCACTGTCTGCCTGGGAGCTCTCCTTTTAGCCATCCGTGTGGCTCCCTCCCTCTCCGCCTTCAGGTCTTTGATCAAATGTCTCCTCAGGGAAGCCTTGCTGTTGTTCAGCCACTAAGTCATGTCCTACTCTTTGTGACCCCATGGACTGGGACGCGCCAGGCTTCCCAAGGTCTCAGCCCATGCCCTGCACTCTTTATCTTCTTCCTGGCTTTATCCAATGGTGACAAGTGCTGTGACTTCTGCAGGCGACCTGGCGAGCCTCCCCTGGACCTGGGCAGTATCCCCTGGCTGGGCCACGCCTTGGAGTTTGGAAAAGATGCTGCTGGCTTCCTCACTAGGATGAAGGAGAAGCATGGTGACATCTTTACTGTAAGTGCCTCTTGGGAAGGAAGGGGATGAGCAACTGGACCTAGTAAACCTGCTGTTTACTGATTTCTTCAATATCCACCCATACACTAACTGTCCAGTGGTCCAGCCAACTTTCTGTATGCCTATCCAACTGTATGTCCAACACTTATCTAACACACATCCCTTCATTACCCCTCCAGCATCTTCCCAACACTCAGCTATGCATTCACGATCTATCAAATACATGTCCATTCATCTAACTGACCTCTATCCATTCATTCAACTTTCATCTATCACATATCCACCCATCCGTCTAACATCTTACCCTTCTGCCTCTCTGCCCAGTATCTAAGCAGCCTTCTTCCATCTTAGTGTCTATCTAGTATTCATTCGTATATTCCATTTCCATCAAACCTCTATCCACCTTTCTAAATATCTATCCATTATCTGTCTGTTCATTTATTTATCATCCAATCTTCCATCTGTCTACCCAAATTTATCTAGTATTCTTCCACTCATGGAGCTAGCATCCATCCACCCTTCATCCACAGATTCAGTTTCCACCAGCTTCCATTCTTCTGTTTACCCGCCCATGTTGCCATTCATCTGCCACTATCACCCAGTGTTCAATTATCCATCCTTTCAACATACAGTGTCTGTCCACTTCAATCACATCTGTCTATATGTCTCTCCATCCATCACTTCAACATACAAACAGTTACCACTGATCCATCCACTTCCATGTATCCTTCTAACTTTCATCTATCCAACATTCACCTTTCAACCTGTTGACCCAGTGTCCACTTAGCATCCTGCCATCCGTGTACCCATTCATTCATATGTTTAGTTTGCAACCAACTTGTAGCCACCCATCCATCCATCTTTCCATCCAGTGTCTATTCAGTGATCTGTCCTTCCACTTATCCATCCAGCTAACTATCCATCCAGCAGCATTTTTTCTTCGGTTTTGGGCCTGCATTTCGTAAGAGTTTGATTAGCATGACAAACGAACTGCATTTTGAAAACAGGGCCAAGACAGTGGGTAGTTTCAGTTGTGTGACACCCTCCACTGACATTTGAGGGGACATACCCTTACCTTGGTTGACTACAGGATCACAGTTCTCCAGTGCTGTTTCCTTCCTATCTTGAGTAGTGTGTTATATACAGAATTCAGCCTCCCAAAGAAGTAGATAGTGCTTTCACATCCACTGGCATTTACCCAAGATCCTTCTTTCCTTCTATCCACACACACTCACACACACACACACACACACACACACACACACACACACACACCCGTAATGTACCCACTAGCATTTATCCACCAGCATTCTTTAATCCATCCATCCCTCCGTTTATTCATCCACCCAGTTTTCCACCCAGTTAATCCATCCATCCATCAGTCCTTCTGTCCTTCCATCCATTAACCCATTCAACCATCCGGACATTTACCCACATGAACCTATAATGTATCCACCAGCATTTATCTTCCAACATCCATCCATCCTTCCATCCATCCATCCACCTGTGATGCACCGATGTCCATCTGCTGCCTTCTGTGGACAGACTGTCTCCTGGCTGCTGAAGATACAACAACCAAGACCACCATGGCCGATGCTTACAAGTGAGGCGGTTAAGAGCATAAACTTGAGTGCAAAAAAATGCTGAATCCCAGTCCCAGCTCTGCCACTGCGCAGCTTTGTCATCTAGGGCATAGTGTGTGCCCTCTCTGAGCCTCACGTGTCAGCTCTAAGTGGGTAGATGATGGTCTCTGCCTCCCAGGGTGGTCGTGACAGGTAGATGAGGGGACATTGTCTGTAACGTACTTGGTGGGGCCAGCGCCTGGCGCAGGGACGGCCTCGACCCCTGAGACCCCGTGTTGTGCACGGCTGTGCTCCTCACCCCATCCCTGCCTGCTCCGCAGGTGCTGGTGGGCGGCCGGCACGTCACGGTCCTCTTGGATCCCCACTCCTACGACGCGGTGGTGTGGGAGCCCCGCAGCAAGCTGGACTTCCACGCCTACGCCGTCTTCCTCATGGAGAGGATTTTCGACGTGCAGCTTCCGCATTATAACCCCGGTGATGAAAAGTCCAAGATGAAACCGTGAGTGGCCGCAGACGGCACCCGATGGGTGGGCCAGGGTGGGCAGTCGGCTTCTGCCTGTGTGGTTCAAGTCCTGCGTGGGCTGAACCAGTCTCCACAACAGGTGTCCAGTAAAGACGCTTTGTTTTGGACGTCCCTGGCAGTCCAGTGGTTAAGACTCCTTGCCAGAATGCAGGGGACATGGGTTCAGTCCCTGGTTGGGGAAGATCCCACATGCCTTGTGGTGTGACCAAAAGAAAAAAAAGATGTTTTGCTTTGAGAAAACAAAAACAAAGCAAAAAACAAATGCAGGGAATTGAAGAAGAATTCTTTCCTTTTTAAGAGGCAGGGCTGATTTTTAGTAGAAGACTGGGGTTGGTGTCAGCCAGACATGGATTCAAATCCGAGCTTTCCCACTGCTTATCTTTGTGACTTTGGGCAAGTCACCCACCCTCTCTGAACCTCTGTTTCTACATCTGTCAAATGGAGGTCGTAGGGTGATTAATGTTTTTGAGTCCATACTCCGTGCTGGGCATCATATGATCTCATGAGTCTTCCTAGCAATTCTGAAGGGTAACTTACGGCCCCATTTTATAGATGAGGACATGGGGTTCAGAGAAGAGAAGTGACTTGCCTGAGGTCATACAGCAAGTCCTGAAACATAAAGGATATTCACATCAACAGAAGGACCTGTGAGCACACCTACTGTCTTCACTCACATGCTGGTCATCGTCCTAGTTCACAGGCACAGAATGACACCAACTTCCCTTTGAAGGTTAAAGTGAAGTTGTTCAGTCGTGTCCAACTCTTTGCAACCCCAAGGACTATAGCTCACCAGGCTCCTCCGTCCATGGGATTTTCCAGGCAAGAGTACTGGAGTGGGTTGCCATTTCCTTCTCCAGGGGATCTTCCCGACCCAGGGATTGAACCCAGATCTCCCACATTATAGGCAGACACTTTGCCATCTGAGCCACCAGGGAAGTCTGGTGGCTTCCCTTTGAAGACACCTGCCAAATGCCAGGTGTTTTGATAGGCCCGTGTTCATATCTGTGCAACAGCCTTAGAGGTAGGTATTTTTTTATCCATATTTTACAGATGAGGAAACTGAGGGTCAGAGAAGTGACGTGACATACCCAAGGCCAACTACTAGCAAGTGACAGAGCTGGGGTTTGAACCCAGGTCTGCAGTCTCCATAGCCCATTCTCCTCCCCACGAGATACTGAGGAGATAAGACTGCATCCGCACCTAAAGAGTGCATGTGGCCTGACAGTCATCTTTAGAAAGATGTCACCCCCTGAAGTCAGGTAAAGCATCTAGGGGTCTGGGTTTTGCAGGACTGCTAAAGCTGAGGAGAGGCCAGCATCATAAGGTGAATATTGATGAGAGGCAGTACTCAGTCTGACCTTGGCTTTGTGGAGCAGATTTTAGGAGTATTCCTGAGCCAGAGTGTCCTGGATCCCGCTATTCCAACAGTCCCATTAGCAACAAGAGTCCACAGTTAATTCACTGCATCCTGTCCCCCGACCCGGGGAAGATCCCAGTTTCCTCCAGCGTCTGCTCCCAGGAGCTTCTGGGCTTTTCTCACAAGCTGGCATGAGGTCCTCTGGGCATGGCTGCTGCATCTGTTGATGACCACAGCCCCCATTGAGGACTCACGCTTGGAGCAGAGTGATCAGTGTTGATCACTGAGCCAGCTCCCAGGGGCCAAGGGCTGTGTTAAGCCCTTTAACATATTGTCTCACGTGGGTCATGTCTATTGTTCTTCCAGTAATGAAACATCCAAAAGCTTTTATTATGTGGAAGTTCACAAAACCCCCCTGGAAGTTTTCCCATCATGAATTCTCAGAAAAAACCAGGGGCTTGCTCAATCTAAAGGGATCTATGCTATTTCCAAGCAGCAGGGGGCGACAGAGAGCCAGAGCGCTTGATGGTGACTCTAGTACTGTTCTTGTTGTTGCCTCCGAGTGGCCCTGTTGAACATCGGCTCTGCACCACCCCCTGGACTCATCACTTGACGCGGTGGTGCCCTTTGTGGTCTAGGTTCTTGCAGACTGTAGAGGGGCCTTAAACTTAGATAGAAGATCCCATCTTTCCCAGCTTCTAATCATATGCTCAGTCATGGCTCAATGTTGAATGTTGGGAGGCTCAGTACAGAGAGGCTTCTAGCTTCAGCCACACATTCTCCCAGAGCTAGTCCCCTCCGTAGAATCCTAGGTGCTTAAATAATGAGACCAGATCACCAGCCATATTCCCTTACTCTGCATGTGGCCTTCACTCGGAGTCATCTCTTATCAGCAGTCCTTGGTTGGAGACACTTCATCCAAACAGCTCTCCCTAACTTTGAATCTCAAGGAGAAACGGTTGGTTTCTTAGTTATACCTCTTCTGTAAGTCTGTGGGTTCTTTATCAAAGCAGGGACGAGTATCATGGTTAAGCATTCAGACTCTGGAGTTGGGCAAATCAGGGTTTCAGTCTCAGCTGTGTCACTTACTGTCTGGGTGACCTTTGGGCAAGTTACTGTCTTCTCTGTCCCTCAGTCTCCCCATCTGTAAAATGGGTATCATAATAGTAACTGCTATCCGTAGTGTGGTCAAAAGATGAAGTGAGATCGTCGTACTTGGCACAATAAATAGTAACTGTTGCCATTATTGACAGTGATAGAAATAATAATATCATTCTGTTTAAGCTGGTCATCCAAAGAGGAACAGGAGCCCTGGGACTCTGAGGTCTGGGGATGGAGGTGTTTGTGTGCATATATATATATATATTTTTTTTTTGGAAGCCACACTCTCACTCCTTTGTTCCTTGCCCCAGGACTCTCCTCCACAAAGAACTGCAGGCGCTCACGGATGCCATGTATACCAACCTCCGCACTGTCCTGCTGGGTGACACCGTGGAAGCGGGCAGTGGCTGGCATGAGATGGGGCTCCTCGAGTTCTCCTACAGCTTCCTGCTCAGGTGAGCCCAGCACTCTGGACCGCCGTGCATAGTGGCCAAGGGGACCAAGAGGACTTTATGTGTGCATAGCAGTTTGGGATGCTCCAAAGCCAAGGCTGCAAGATGACATTTTGTACCTGGGACTCTGAGTGGTCACCTGGTCCTCAGCCTGTGGGCCATAAAGGAGACACAGGCCAGGAAAGGGGCCTTGCTGGTAACCCAGATGCTTGGCAAAGAGGGCCAGTGTGACTGGAGCCTAATGAGCTGAGGAGATGGGGCAGGGCAGTGAGGATGAAGTTGACAGAAACCAGGTCTCAGAACCTCAAAGCCATGGATATTCTAAGTAAGATGAGTGACGTTGGGTGTGTAAGCAGGGGATGTGACACTATTGGACTTTGAATTGTTTTTTTGAATATTTATTATTTCTCTGGCTGTGTTGGGTCTTAGCTGTGCACATGGGACCTTCATTGCTTCCTGCAGGATCTTCATTGTGATGTGCAGGCTCAGTAGCCCCATGGCATGTCAGATCTTAGTTCCCCAACCAGGGAACAAACCTGTGTCCCCTGCATTGGAAGGCGGGTTCTTAACCACTGGACCATCAGTGAAGTCCCAGACTTAGAGTTTTAAAAGCTGTCTTTGTCTGCCAGATGGAGACTGGACCATGGTTCGGGTGGGTGACAAAAGAGAGGCAAGGGGACCTGTTAGAAGGCTGTTGTAGTTGCCCAGGTGAGAGAGGATGGTGCTCGGGACCGGGATGTGGGGAGAATTGGGGCAGCTTTGGGCTTCCTTGCTAGCTCAGCTGGTAAAGCATCTGCCTGCAATGCAGGAGACCCCGGTTCAATTCCTGGGTGGAGAAGATCCTCTGGAGAAGGGATAGGCTACCCACTCCAGTATTCTGGGGCTTCCCCGGTGGCTCAGCGGGTAAAGAATCCGCCTGCAGTGTGGGAGACCTGGGCTCAATCCCTGGGTTGGGAAGATCCCCTGGAGAAGCGAAAGGCTACCCACTCCAGTACCCTGGTCTGGAGAATGCTATGGACGGTATAGTCCATGGGGTCGCAAAGAGTTGGGCACGACTGAGTGACTTTCACTTTCACTTCACTCTGGGGGATGAGGTTGATGGGTCCTGCTAAAGGACTTGATGGCCTGGTAGATGGGGGAACATGGCTACAGGCAGTGAGGGAAAGAGATTCAGTCAGGACAGCTCATTGACTTTTGGTGTCACCGTTAATGACCAGCACCTCATAAAAGCAAGACATTTCAACTGCTGGAAAAAAATTACAGCAACACAGTTTCAGAATAAAGGACAGGCATTTGCTGACACATATGAGTACCCTGGGACGTTTATGACACATGTGTGTACATGTAGGCTCAGTGGGTGCTAATACGTTTAGTCCGCACAACAGCCCTATGAAGCAGGTGCCTCACAAACCCCACTTGATGGACGAGAAAACCAAGGCCTGGAGAGCCTAAGTCGTTTGCCCAGAGTCTCATGGCTGGGACCCTGGGAGGGCTGGTGGCAGAGCCTGCACCCTCAAGCGCGACCCTTGCTGGGTTCACTCTTTCTCACTTCACCCTGGACTGGTGCAGACACCTTCAAGGGCTGTGACTGGTCCGGGTGATGCTGGTCCGGTTCACCCTGTCATCGTATGGTGGGGAGATGGAGGTCCAGAGAGGGGCCCCCCAGCAAGATCACAGTGGGGAGCCCCCAGATCTCCTGGTTCCTGCCATCCTGCCATCCTGTATGCTTGCTAGGGCAGAGAAGTCAGAGGAGAAGCCGAGGCGCTGGGGGAGGTAGGGGCCACGTGGTGGCAGCTGGGTCCGTTTAGGTCCGTGGTAAGAGCAGGCTCAGCGCCGGGGGCAGGTGTAAGTGGATTCCTGTGTCTTCAAGGCCTGAGCCCTGGCTGCAGCTCCTGCCTCCCGGCTTGGCAGCAGCCTCCGGCCTTTTCGTCGCCATCTGCAGCCCCTGAAATGGAGAGGGAGTGGGCGAGCTGGATGTCAGGGCCACTGATGGGATGGCGCGTCTTCACGGAGCCCAGCTCCCGGGATCCCACCATCCTGTGTGGGCCCCGGCCCGCTCAGTCCCATCCAGAGTTCTGACTTTGATTCCTCTGGGGTCATCTCACCAGCCTCCTTGCTGAACAGGCCAGGCACACTCCCACCTCAAGGCCTTTGCAGTTTTCGTTCCCTTGCCCAAGAATGCTCTTCTCTACATGTCTCCTCGGCTCCCGCCTCCCTTCATTCAAGTCTTGTCTCAAGGGTCACCTCCTAAGGGAGGCCTTTCCTGACCCCTCATTTACTATGATGTCCCCTGGGGCTTCCCAGGTGCCTCAGTGATGAAGAGTTCACCTGCCAATGCAGGAGACGCAGGTCTGATCCCTGGGTCGGGAAGATTCCCTGGAGGAGGAATTGGTAACCCTCTCCAGTATTCCTGCCTGAAAAATCCCGTGGACCGAGGAGCCTGGGGGGCTACGGTCCAGGCGGCGGCAAATAGTCCAACATGAGTGTGGGAGCGAAGCTCCCAGAACGCTTATTCCCCAGCCTTAATTCCAGCTTTTCCTGTCTGACTCCTAGCGCCACCTATGGGCCAAGCATGTATTTACAGGTCGTGCAATCACTTCTGCCTGTCTTCAGCTGTTAGGTTTTTCAAAGGGAAGGAGCCTTAGAAAGGGCGTCACGTCCACAGTGTGAAATCTCTTGGTTCTTTCTGGTTTTCTTTTCTTTCTTTCCTTTTTGGGAGGGTTTTTTTTTTCATTACCTATTTTTGGTAGAAATTTTACCTAAGGAACTAGTTTTCTGCTTTAAGGAAAAAAAACCAACACCAGTACAGGTGGGATGGCAGATGGTGACAGGTATTTAACTGCCGTGTCTCAGAGACCTCAGGGTCAGGGGAGGACTGTGTGACTCTGCCAGCTCATTCCCGTCTGAGAGGGTGGCAGTGAGTCCACTCCTGCCCGGGACTGCCAGGCGGGACTGCAGGCTGCCGGTGGCCAGACTCTCCCCTTTCTCAAGATGAGATGGAGGGGGAAATCCAGGTTTTGTGTTCAGTTCAGTTCAGTTCAGGTGCTCAGTCGAGTCTGACTCTTTGCGACCCCATGGACTGCAGCACGCCAGGCCTCCTTGTCCATCACCAACTCCCGGAGTTTACCCAAACTCATGTCCATCGAGTCAGTGATGCCATCCAAGATTTTGTGTGAATTTCCCCAACTGTTTAAACATGCATTCAGTTTGTTTTTAGGAGAACATGATTAACCAAACCAGACTCGTTTCTGGACTGAATCCCGTCTGTGGGCTGCAGCTTTACAACTTCCGCCGTAAGGGGACTGAGGGCGCTTGTCTGGAGATGAGGACCCAGGGCTTACACGTTTGGAGGAGAAGGAGCAGGGAATTCCTTCTGGGCTGATGCAGCAGCATCAGTGGGGCCCGGAGGTCGGAGCTCGTTCCAGCCATTCTGAGGGAAGGGTTGCTTCCTCTTAGCCCAGTGGGATGGGCAGGTCTTGAACTCACCATCTCTGGGGGATGTGGAGGCCAAGATGGGAGGAGGGGAGGGTAGTGGGATGCAGGGAAAAGGTAGGAAAGCAGGTCGGATAACTGAGCTCAGAATCATGGTGGCCCTGTATTTTCTTCTAAGATCAGTGTTCTCGGGATTGAGTTCTAGCTATCCATCTATCCATCCATCCATCCATCCACCCATCCATCCATCCACCCATCCACCCATCCTCCCATCCATCCATCCACCCACTCTCCCTTCCTCCTTCCTATCCATCCATCCATCCACCCATCCTCCCATCCGTCCATCCACCCACCCATCCTCCCATCCATTTATCCATCCACCCATCCTCCCCGCCTCTGTCCCACCCATCCACCCATCCATTGATAGAACGTTTATTGAAGACTTACTGCACATCTGCACTACGTAAATGAGGGGTTAAGTGGGGACTAGACAGGCATCTCTCAGCCCCACCCCACCCCCCCACCCCTGCTTCCATCCTCTCCTCTGGAGAAACCCTGTCCTGGGCGATCCAGGGAGTAGGCGGAGCTGCAGGAGGCTGTGTCAGTGTCTCTCTCAGAAGTCCTGGCCCCTCTCCCACGTGGAAAAAGTGAAAACCTGTGGTTTCCCTCCCAGGACTGAGGCCGGTGGGGCTGGGCTCCTGGAGCTTTGAAAGTGAAAACATAGGTGGTGGAGACGATTCCTCTGGGAGCATTCTTGCGGGCAGCGTGAATGTGTGTGTGTGTGCACGCGCACACACACACCAGGGCTTACACTTGCTCTTGTGTCTCATCCTTTCTCCCTACTCCCCCACCAGGCCCTGTCCCTCTCCTCCTCAGACCCCCTGTTGCCCTTGAGGTCAAGGCCGGTCTTCCCGTGTTGACGGCCAGCCCTGTGTGATGGACTCTGGAGACTCCCAGGCCACTCCAGCCCAGCGCCTGGCAGTCCTCGGACCCAGCCATGGATGCTCCCTTGGCTCCAGCCCTTTGCCTGGGCTGTGCCCTCTGCCAGAACCCCTGTCCCCTGCTTATGCTGCAGGTTCCAGCTCAGATGCTGCCTCCTCCAAGAAGCCTGCCCTGACTTCCTCTTCGGGGGCAGGAACCTCTTTTCCTGACCCGGGGCCCCCATCTCGCCCTTCCACCTGCTCTGCTTACCTGCTTCCAACAGCGCATCCGCGCTCCTTCCTGCGGCAGAGGTTGGCTCTTCCCTGCGCCCTGGACCCCTCTTCTGCCCGTCCTGCAGCTTGACCGGAAGGAGCGCCCTTCCCCTGCCTCTCCCCGTTGGCCGTCCCTCTGAGCCCGTGCTGGCCCACGACTCCTCCACTCGCTTCCCTGTCTGTCGTGAGGGTTTTGCGTGTTTTCTTCCCTGCTGACTCTCTGGCCCAGAACCGTCCCTGACACAGGGTAGGAAAATCTGGTGCTCCCCAGGGGTACGAATGAAGAAAAGCTCGTAGGCAGCCTGGAGAGCTCAGCTGGGACCATTCAGAGACGGCCTGCTGACCCTCTGCTTGCCGCCCCCAGAGCCGGCTACCTGACCCAGTACGGCGTCGAGGCACCCCCACACACCCAGGAGAGCCAGGCCCAGGACCGCGTCCACTCAGCCGAGGTCTTCCACGCCTTCCGCCAGCTTGACCTGCAGCTCCCCAAGCTGGCGCGTGGCTCACTGTCAGCGGGTAAGCACCATGGGGTCCTTGGTGGGCTGTGGGGCTGGCAGAGGGGCCCAGAGAGGGAGTCCACCCTCAAGCTGAAGGATCATAGACGACATGGAAAGGAAAATATTCTAATGCCTTTTGAGGTAGTGAGGTCCCCGTCACGGGGGGGTATGCAAGAGCACACTGGTGGGGAGGCAGGGCTTGGACTGGAGCTGGGGTTCCTGTTGGAAATTCTGATGCAGCACCTCTGGAGTGGGGCTTGGGGACCTTTTCTGTGTGTCTGTTTCTTTTCTAGGTTTAACATTTAGTTTGCTTTAAAATTTTTTTTTTCCCTTTAGAAATTCTTACAAGTAGTTTATACTGATTATAGAAATTTAAGCCAAATAGAATAATTTAGAGGGAATAATAAAAGATTTGTCCACCTTCTCCTCATCCCACTTCCCTTCCCCTCCACAGAGGTGACCTTTATTACTAGCATGGAGAGTTTTCTCTAAACACACACAAAGAATTCTTTTTTTTTTTATTGAGGTGTATTTTATATACAAGAAAGCACACAGTCCTAAATGCACAGCTGAGAGATCAATCTAAACGTTCCATGCCCTTTCGCAGTCAATATCCACGCCCTAGCGTTAGCCACTGTATGGATTTCTTCCACCTTAGCTAGTTTTACCTGTTCTTGAACCTCCTATAAAAAGAATCATGGAATATGTGCACTTGGATGTCTGATTTTTTTCACTCAACTTTATGTCTGTAAGATTCATGGAGATTGTTGTATGTGTCTATGCTTTCTTTTTCGTTGCTCTGCAGTATTTCACTGGAGTAATAATCACAATTTGTTAAACATTCCTGGTTGGGGCACCTGGGTGGTTTCCAGTTTGTGGTTGTGCATGTTCTTGTATGTGTCTTTCTGAGCACAAATGCCTTCATTTCTCTAAGTGTTTAGCCCTGTGCTTGTTTAACATCAGTGTAGCACTCTGGAGGAATTGTTCTGCTCCAGAGTTTTCACTGAGCTCCACATCTCGAACTTCCCATGTGCGTTTATAAAAACCCACCGCCTTCGTTTCCGTGGCTACAGAGGGGAAGCAATGTCGGTAAAAAGCTTCCTGCTGGATTCAGGGACCCAGGTCTATAGGAACCCCTGGGATGCATTCTCCCCTGGCCACTGTGACTCAGACTTCCTCAGGGAGCAGAGTCCTCTGGGGCCGTTGTTAATAAGTCTCCAAGCGCCATCCCAGTCCTTTTGATTTGAATGAGCTTCCCTGGTGACTCAGGGGGTAAAGAATTTGCCAGCAATGTAGGAGTTGTTCAGTCGCTCAGTTGTGTCTGGCTCTTTGGGACCCCATGGACCGCAGCACGCCAGGCCTCCCTGTCCTTCATCATCTCCCGGAGCTTGCTCAAACTTATGTCCATTGAGTTGGTGATGCCATCCAACCATCTCATCCTTTGTCGTCCCCTTCTTCTCCCACCTTCAATCTTTCCCAGCATCAGGATCTTTTCCAATGTGTCAGCATCAGGTGGCCAAAGTATTGGAGCTTCAGTTTCAGCACCAGTCCTTCCAATGAATATTCAGGACTGATTTCCTTTAGGTTTGGCTGGTTGGATCTCCTTGCAGTCCAAGGGATGCTCAAGAGTCTTCTCCAACACCACAGTTCCAAAGCATCAATTCTTCAGTGCTCAGCCTTCTTTATCATCCAACTCTCACATCCATACACGACTACTGGAAAAACCATAGCTTTGACTAGACGGACCTTTGTAGGCAAAGCAATTCAGGAGACCCAGGTTCGATCCCTGGGTCGGGAAGATCCCTTGGAGAAGGGCATGGCAATCCACTCCAATGTTCTTGCCTGGAGAATTCTATGGACAGAGGAGCCTGACAGGCTACATACAGTCCATGGGGTTGCAAAGAGTCAGACAGGACTGGGCGACTAACACTCACTTTCTCCAGGGAGACTGGGACACTGCGTTTTTGACAAGTTTCTGACAACTCAGCCACGGGAAGGTTGAGAAACACTGTGTCCTGGTCTCAGAAACTTGCAGCAAGACCTGGATTTGCATCAGTGCTTTGCTGCTCCCTTGCTGGTGATTTACGGCAAGTTACTTAACTTCTTTTTGCTCTGGGTCTTCTCTCTCTCGAGGGGCAGTTGAAGGCAGTGGTTAAGACAGACTCTAGGCTCAGGTGGCTTGAGGTGGTTCACTGGCTCTGATGTATTTTCTCCGTGCCTCAGTGATCCCATCTGCAAAATGGAGAGACCAGTAGGATCTTCCTAGAAGGTGGCTGTTGGCATAGGCTGAAGTAATAAGAAAAAACGTTATTTGTTGAGCAGTTTCTTTGTGCCAGATACCAGGTTAAACATTGTGTCATTCAGTGCTTACAAGAGCTCATGACCCCATTTCCTTTATTTATATATTAATATTTTAAAAAATCAGACTTTAACACATTATATTGTTTAAGTTAAAAAAAGACAAAAAACACAGGGGACGTCCCTGGTGGCCCAGTGGATAAGAATCCGCCTGCCAGTGCGGGCGATACAGGGTTCAGTGCCTGGCCTGGGACGACTCCACAGGCCTTGAGCAACTAAGCCGTGTACCACGGCTGCTGAGCCCTCGGCCCCCAGCCCGAGAGCTGCACCCCCTGAGCCCTGAGCTGCAGCCGCCGCAGCCGCCCGCCTCCAGTCGGTGCTCCACAGCAAGAGAAGGCGCCTCGGTGAGATGCCCGGGCACCACAACAGAGAGCAGCCCTCGTCGCAACTAGAGAACGCCCGTGCAGAGCAACGCCGCCTCCGCGAAGGCAGAAATAACAAGATCACGAAAATAAAATCAGTAAATTTTAAAATTATATATACATAGAAAAGAAAGAAACATAGGAACTTCCCTGGTGGTCTAGTGGCTGAGACTGTGTGCTCCCAATGCAAGGGGACCGGGTTTGATCCCTGGTTAGGGAACTAGATCCCACGTGCCGCAGCTAAAGAGTTCACAGCTGCAACTAAATATCCCTCATGCCCCAGCAAAGATCGAACATCCCGATGCCACGGTGAAGACCTGACACAGCCAAATAAATAAATGGTTTTTTGAAAAGAAACACGTTCTTGTGATAGATGTAGACAGGAAAAGATAATAATACTCTTCCAAACCCATCTTCCTATGGAAATCAGTGTTAACATGCTGATATATCTCTTCAGTGTTTTGTAGGGATACTCTATTTAAACAATGGAGACAAGTATATATATATAAAGTGTCACTGTGTGTATTTACAAAAAAGGATTATATTTATTATCTAATCTAACAACATAGCTGCACAATCTCCCTTGTTAATTCAAATATCTTCTAGAGGCATTAGCCAATGCAATTAGATAAGAGAAATCAATTACCAATATAATAATGAGTAAAGAAGAAATAAAATTATCCATATTTACAAGTAATCTGATACTATACACAGAAAACCCCAGAAAATCTATAAAACTAACTCAAGAATAATATATATATGTACACATATGTATATATATATATATAGCAAAGCAGAAGGATGTGAAAATCAACATAAAAAATCCAGACATCTTTCTGGCTCTTTCAGATCACTATTTAGACAGCTATCCCCCTCCAATGGATATTTATAATTGTTTCCTTTTTGTGTGTGTGACTGTTACAGTACTTCATTGTACTTGTTATCTCTTCTACAATCTGGTGATTTTATTTTTCTCTAACAGTTTCCTGGAAGTAGGTTTGCCAGGTTAAAGGGCATACACATTAAAATTTTTATTAGCTGTTGCTGTATCTTTTACAAAACCATGGAGCAATTCATACGCCTACCCAAAGGGAAGGTGTCTGCTCATTCCTCACCAGATTTTATCAGTCTTTCCAATGGTTTGACAGTCTAATGGGCAGAAGTGTGTAATTGGTCGTTTTAATTTGCGTTTTCCCACAACCTTGTGAGCATGCAGTTATGAGTCTTTAAATCCTTACTAATCTGATGGGCAAAAAAGGGCATCTGGCTTTATGGGCATTTCATCCTGTGATGAAAAAACATCTTTTAGTGTTACTGGCCATTTGCTTTTCCTCTTTGTGAGTTGCTTGTTCATGATTCTTAGTGTCTTTTTTGACACAGCTCCTTATCTTATGGAATCCTGACATCAGTGCTGGAAAGTTGGTGTTGTACAGTTGCTAAGTTGTGTCCAATTCTTTGCAACCCCACAGACTGTAGAATGCCAAGCTTCCCTGTCCTTCACCATCTCCTGGAGTTTACTCAAACTCATATCCATTGAGTCGGTGATGCCATCCAACCATCTCATCCTCTGTCGCCCCTTCTCCTCCTGCCCTCAGTCTTTCCCAGCATCAGGCTCTTTTCCAATGAGTTGGCTCTTCACATCAGGTAGCCAAAGTATTGGCGCTTCAGCATCAGTCCTTCCGATGAAAGTTGGTATTATTAAACACTTTTTTCAGGTGAAGAAACTGAGGCTCAGAGAAGTGAAGTCATTTTTCATAGACACATAGCTGGTAGGTGACAGAACAGCAAGATAGCAGCTTGGTCTGTTTGATTGCAAAACCTGGTGCACGGAGCACTGCTACAGTCCAGCACTGATCGCTTCTCCAGGGAAGAGCAGTTTCTCTGTTGCTGTTTCTTCCATACAGATGCCCCGGGGGAGTCTGGGTAGATGCAGAGAGGGACCCTCCCTTTTATCCCTGGAGCAGCTCTGGGCTGGGTGTGGGAAGGCTGCATTTCTCAGTATGGGCAGCAGGTGGCAATGTGGGGGGCAGTTTCTCCACTTAGGACGGGAGGCTGGGGTGCAGAAGGGCCCCCAGAGCTTGCTATGGGGCATGTGAAGCTATGCAGCAACTTTGGAAAAGCAATTTGGTAGAACCTATCAGCATAAAACACACACACCTTTGATCCTGTACTTCCGCTTAGTGGAGTTAACCCACAGAGATGCTCCCGTGTGTCTACAAATCCACAGATATTCATTGCCATGTTATCTGTGGAAAACTGTCTTCCCTGGAAAATTAAAACCCGTCCCTGGTGCCAAAAAGTTTGGGGACCACTGTCTTAGAGTTTCTTTTTCCTTTATTATATTGTTGTTGTTTACTATTTTCATGCATTATTCCTTCTCCGGTTTTAGAAATATAAACATTTTTAAAAAGATTGAGCTTTTGGGGACCCTTAGACAATCGAATTTGGTGCTTCTCATACAGGAGAGAGTTGGGGAGGCAGTAGGGAGTTAAATAGAGCCCTGAGCTAAGCAAACCGCTTCTTTTTGGAATAATCATGTCACCGAATTGTTGGCTGTTTTATTTGAATACTGTTTGGGTGCTGGAAGCATTCTTCTATTAAAGAATACAGGGTCTAATGCAAAAACCAAATGCATTTTAAAGGTGAAACACAAGACTTTAAAACTTTGTCTCCACTGGGGGCCTTGCTGAACTGTACTCTTGGGTCTCCAGGGGACTGGGGTGTTTCCAAACCTAGATCTCTTGCTTTACAAATGCGGAGACTGAGGGACTTCCCTGGTGGTTCACTGGCTACTCCCAGTGCAGGGGGTCGGGGAACTGAACCCCACATGCCACAACTAGGAGTTCACATGCCACAACTCAAGATCTGGCGCGCCTCAGTGGAGAGCGAGGATCCCAAGTGCTGCAGCCAAGGCCTGGTGCAGCAGATAAAGAAAGAAATATTTGAGAAAAAAAATGCGACTGAGGCTCAGAGATGGACAGGGCCTCAGCCGAGCCCACACAGCATGGGAAGTCTGGGATTGAACCTGTTTCTCCTGCTTCCGACCAAGTTACCAGTCTTATGAGCCTGGTAGTTCTGATTCACAGCCTTGAGTCACTACATGGGGGCTGATAAATAATACCTTATCAGAATGGCAGGATATAGCAAGTGCAATTTGCCAAACCCCTGCCAGTACGCAGTGTGCTCCGCGTGTGATCTTTTCGAGTTCCCCTAATGGTCCTCTGAGCCAGGTTGCCCCCATTTTTCAGATGGGGAACTGAGTCTCAGAAATACAGAGTGATTACCCAAGATTGTCCCCCTAGGAAGGGGCAGAACTGGGATCTCAACCTGGGTCGCTATGGCTGCAAACCAGGTGATCTTTGTTTCACAATTTATTATTTCTTAATTATGGAAATAATACATGACTACATTCCTCTTGGACTAATAATTTACTAACATTCATTCAGCTTTGTTTAATAATATAACTAATGTTTATTAGGCCTGGGCCAGGCATCAGTCTTCAGGCTTTATATGTGAATGCATTCAGTCTCTGTACAGCCCTGTGTGGTGAGTACTCTGACCCTAATTTATAGGTGAGAAAACCGAGATGTTCAGAGGTGAGGCGCCTTACTCAAGGTCAGGCCCTCTGCTCCAGAGCTTGGGCTCTTAAGTGGGCTCCCCTGCCTCTTGTGAAAAAATAAACTATTGCAAAGAAGGTGTATACTGTTTTGACCTCACTCCCTCTGCATCTATCTCCAAGGTAACCATTGTTATCAACTGAGTGTTGTACTGCTGCGGTTCATGGGGTCATGAACAGTCGGACAGGACTGAGCAACCGAACAATTGCTAAAACAGTGCCGTCCTGTAGAAATAGAATGTCGGCCACGTATGTAACTTTACATTTTCTAGTAGACAGATTTTTTTTAAAAATGAAGAGGAATTCCACAGCATTCCAGTGTTTAAGACTCCAGGCTTCCACTGCAGGGGGCACAGGTTTGATCCCTGGTTGGGGAACCAAGATTTCACATGCTGCAGGGCGCAGCCAGGGAAAAAAATCCCATGAAAGTAAAATAAATACATAAAGTTAAATATAAAAAAGAAAGAGGTGAAGTCAACTTTAATAATATTTTTCTTTAACCCAGTATATCTAAATGATTAGCATTTTAGCATGTAATTAATATAAAACTACTGCGATATTTTACATTTTGTGTCTGTCGCCAAGACTTGAAATCTGGTATGTACTTTTGACTCACAGGACATCCCGATTCTGAGTGGCCACTTTTCATGTGCTCAGTCAGCATATGTGACTTGCGGCTTGCTTTCTGGACAGAGTTAGTCTTGGCCCTCCAGGTGCACGTGTAAAATACAGTACACCCCAGTTATACTCAGATCCAAACACAGCAAGCCCTGGTTTTCCCAGCAGGAAGGGTTTTGTTTTGGTTTGGTTTGGTTTGGTTTGGTTTGTTTGTCTTTTTAGTCAACCTGAACGTGGAAATAATTAGGACTGGAAATGAAACAGCATCTTATCGATCTTGTTGAGCAGCGGTGGTTAAGCTCACAGGTCGTACAAACGAACCGTTCAGAAATGTCTCTTGCTTCTCACGCTCACCTCTCAGGAAGTGGCTTATTCAGGCTCCGTCTGGACACCTGTGTCATCTCCATCAGCGGTGTGGCAGGTCTTCACTCCCGTATCATCTGATTGAAACATGGAATGTACTTTTTGAATCTATCCACCCATGAATCTATGATCTTTCGCTGGAAATTCTTTACGGGGCTGGGGTTGGTGCCAGATTTCGTTTCACGTGATCCAAACGTTGAAAATACAAAATGGTAACAGTGAGATGTCTCCCATCCATCCTTGTCATCCTTCCTTCCACCCTGTCCCCACCCCCGCCCCACCACGCCCAAGTTGGCTGGTGTTACTAGTTTCTTGTGGATCCTTCCACAGTTCCTTCATGCGAATACAAGCGGACATGATGTTATTCTTTCTTTTCTCTTTTGCCCACAAATGCATGGTAAACACACTGGTGTGGGCACTGCTTTTTCCTAAGAGAGTAGCTGTAATGAAATCTTTTGTAAGATTTTGTGTGTCCTGCACTATTCTATGGGCTCTGAAAATGTTAAGCTAGTTTTACCAAGTTGCCAATATGGTTTATTTTTTACTTATTTTTCTGAAGACTTTGTCCTGGATCTTTTATTTATTTATTTTATTATGACTCCTTTTTTTTTAAGAGCTGCTGTAGGTCTTCATTGCTACAGGCGTTTTTCTCTAGTTGCAGCACAGTGGGGGAGCTACTCTCTAGTTGTGGCGTAAGGGCTTCGCATCTTGGTGGCTTTCCTTGTTCCAGAGCGCAGGCTCTAGGTGCATGGGCTCAGTTGTTGCGGCTCGCACAGGCTTAGTTGCTCCGTGGCCTGTGGGATCTTCCTGGGCCTGGGATAAAACCCGTGTCTCCTGCCTTGGCATCGTTTTTTTTTTTCCATTTATTTTTTATTAGTTGGAGGCTAATTACTTTACAATATTGTAGTGGTTTTTGCCATACATTGACATGAATCAGCCATGGATTTACATGTGTTTCCCATCCCGCTGCCTTAGCATCTTTACTACTAAGCCACCAGGGAAGCCCCGAAAATACACGTAACACATAGCAAATGTACATAACAGAAAAATCATGTGTTTCAGACGAACAGTTGGCCTCATTGCTTTAAATTGAGAATTATGTCTCCTGAAAAAGTGTCTAGAGGTGGAAGAAAAGCATATGGAGTATATTACGTGAAAACGTAATTAATATGCTTAAATAAGTTTTGCCTACCTTTTACATTCTGTCACATGAAGCCTGGTTTGGAGCCACTGGGTAGATGGGTCTTCCTGAAACACTGCTTGTGGCTCAAAAAAGCCAGTGAGAGAGTTGCTAGTACTTTGGAATTTTGTAGCAATCCGAGTGACTCCTTTTCCAAAGGGTGATTTTGGGGAAAGAAAAAAACAAATTTTATATTTGCACATATGTCAATGCAGCATCGTCTTGTAGCATTAACAAAACATATGAACAGTAAGCACTGACTTTATGCCTTCAGTGGTCTGTCTGTGTGGGCCGCTGCACAGTTTTCCGGAATGTAAACACACCATCGTTTATTTAATGGTGTTTGTGAAGTGGTGATCCGGGTTCCAAAGCGGACCCTCAGAGCAGCTTTTGTGACCTGCGTGGTAATTAAAAATGACTTACTGAGATGCTAACTTTAAAACACATGAGAGGATTCCGTGTGAACATTTGGGTTTCAGCTTCTGCTGGAATCACAGGCTCCCTGGCTGTGCCTTGTCTGTCAGGCCCAAGGGGCTGGGGGTGGAGCTGAGTGCAGCCCCGGGACCCCCGCCAGGCCCCGCCGGGCCCTCCGCCCTCGTGACTGGACCTGCCTTTCCTGCAGGTGTTGAGTTTGAAGCCCAGACCCATCTGTCCCCTCTTGGCGGTCCGCTCGTTCATTTCTCCTGGCCGATGTTGTGCCCTCGGGGTCTCCACACACACGTGGGATCAGGCCCCGGGAAAGGAGCATGTGGCCCCTGTTTCCTGTCCCGTCCCCTGCTCTGTGAAGAAAGCTGTTCATTTAACAGACGCTGGCGGAGCACCTCCTCTGACTGGGCCCGCATTTCAGGACCGGGATCCCTGGAGCTTCCTCCTGCAGGAACTCCCCACCCACCCCCTGGGGTGACCTGAAGACCCTTGGCCTCAGAGGGGAGGGCAGGGCAGGATGGCCCTGGGCTGGAGGTGGAGCTGTAACCCCCCATCCTCTGTGCTCCATCCCTGCAGCGGATAAGGACCAGGTGGGCAATGTCAAAGGTCGCCTGTGGAAGCTGTTGGCCCCAGCCAGGCTGGCCAGCCGGGCCCACCGGAGCAAATGGCTGGAGAGTTACCTGCTGCACCTGGAGGAGATGGGCGTGCCGGAGGGGATGCAGGCCCGCGCGCTGGTGCTGCAGCTCTGGGCCACACAGGTGGGTGCCGCGGGTGTGGATGTGAGGCTGTGCAGGTGAGTGCGTGTGTGTGCGTGTGCTCACACGTGTGTACTGTGCGGCACACTACGGCCACGTGCCTGCGATCCGTGTGCATGGGCCTGCACGGGCCTGTGTGCCTGCACACGTGTGCGTATGGGCCACTGGGAGTGTGGGTGTGGGTCTGTGCACACACACCCAGCTGTCTGCCCCCGTTCCCTCACTCTCTTAACTGTCAAAGTGCCTCATGAACAGGACCTTTCATTCAATATACACATTTTTAATTTGGAAAAATGTCAAACTTACAGAGAAGCTATATGAATAGTTTCATGAACTCATATATAGTTCACCTTAATTCCTCAATTTTATGTATTTTTATTGGCGTATAGTTGATTCACAATGCTAGATTCCCCAGTTTTAAACGTTTGACCACATTTGCTTTCTCTCTCTCCTCCTCTGATTATCTTATTGAATCATTTGCAAATTAGTTGCAGGCATCATGATTCTTTGCCCCAAATTTCTTCATTGTGCGTCTCCTAGGAGCAAGAATATTCTCTTCCATCTCCACAGCCCAGAGATCAGATTCAGGACAATTAACCCAGATACAGGACCATTATCTAATATACAGTTCACATTCCAGTTTTGCCAGTTGTTTTAATAATCTCATCTTGGTCCAGCACTGAACCCAGGATCACAGACTGCATTTAGTCATTATGCCTTCTTAGTTTTCTTTAGTATGGAACAATTTTGGTGCCTTTCATTGTTTTTCATGACCTTGAGGTTACTGAAGTGTGCAAATCAGTTATCTTGAAGACTCGTGTAGAAGTTCCAGGAGCTCTATTCCCCGCTCTGAGTTGATCTAAATGGGAAGGATATCTAAAAAAGAGGGGATATATATCTATGTACATATAGCTAATTCACTTTGCTTATCATCCAGAAACTAACACAACATTGTAAAGCAACTATACTCCAATAAAAAAATTTTAATTAAAAAAAAAGAAAAAAAAAAAAAAAACAGACAGACCTAAAATCCATTTTAATTGAAGCCAAACTTGACTGAATCCTATTTACAATGACCTGAGATAATTTTGCTTAATTATTCAATGTATTATGCTTGCACTGGGGATTCTGAAAATAAATTACTTGCTCAAGAAAAATAAAAGTCCCACTGAGTACTCACCATGGACCTCAAAGACACTACTCTGTGGTGCTCATATTTTAGCCAGGAGTAGAGGTGGGGGAGACATCAAGGAAACATGCAGGGTGATTTTAGGTGCTGACATGCAGGATATAAAACAGGGTCATGACTAGATAGGTCCTGGGGGTCTACTCTGGCCAGGGTGGCCTCTCTGGGAAAGAGATGACTGAGCTGAACCCTGGATGGTAAGAAAGAGCTAGATTTGGGGACTTGGGGAGGGTATGGGGATAGAATATTCCAGGAAGGGGAAACAGCACGTGCAAAGGCCCTGGGGTTGGATCCTGCCAGGTGTTTGGGCAGCAGCGAGGAGCTGAGTGCAGCCAAAGCAGAGTAGGCGGCAGGGGGCTGTGGGGCTGAGGCAGAGATCATGGAGGGCCCTTGGGTCCTACTCAGTAAAGACTCGAGATTTTTTTCTGGGTGAAGGGGGAGCCTTGGCAGGGTTCTGAGCAGAGGAGGGACAGGATCTGAGAAGTGGGGACATGGTGAGCAGACAATGGTGGCAGGACCAGTGGTGGCCACGGAGACAAGGAAGAACTAGACAGATTTTGGAAGCAAAGGGAAGGCAGTGCCAGTGGAGCTGGTGATGGCCCGGATGTCGCTGGCAGCGAGAGAAAGCGGTGAGAACACTGCATCTCCAGGCCTGGCTTCCCCCTCCCTGCAGGCCAGAGCCCCTCCTTCTCTTGGCCTCACCTCGGCAGTGACGGGCGGTTGCACAGGCTGACATTTCTGGGTAGTTCCTCTCCCATCGACTTATGACTTATTTTTAATTTTCTCTCAGAACCGTAAAATGTTCTTGCAGGCAGAGGCTGGCAAGGGATGGGGGTGGGTTTAATCAGTAGTTGGGGCCCCATTAATATCTAATAACATATTTATGGGCAGTAACTTGGCGCTCCAAACTGTCCCCAGAATCCCTTATGGAAATGGCCTGTGTCAGCGGAACTGGATGCTGGCCTGGGGGCTTGAGTGGCAGCAAGTCTGGGGAACAGCCTCTGGAGGCGCCAGGAGAACTAGGCAGGAGTTGGTGTCGGGATGTCCTCTAAGGTTGAGTCGATGGCAGTGTCCATAATTCGGGCTGGTGGAAGACCCTTTGAGATCTTGAGTCTTGAGAGCAGGGCCAAGAGGTTGGGTAGCTCAGGAGTTTGGGGCACAGACTCTGTGCCAACCTCCCTGAACTTGGATCCTGAATCTCTGCCACTCCCTGGAAAGTCAGACCCTTAATTTCTTGGTGCCTCGGCTTAGAGAGTGAAAAAAGTGAAGTCGCTCAGTCGTATCCGACTCTTTGTGACCCCATGGACTGTGCCCACTGGGCTCCTCCATCCATGGAATTTTCCAGGCAAGAGTACTGGAGTGGGTTGCCATTTCCTTCTCCAGGGGATCTTCCTGACCCAGGGATTGAACCCAGGTCTCCCGCGTTGCAGGCAGACACTTTACTATCTCGGTTTTACTAGCTCGGTTTACTCCTCTGTAAAACAGAGACAGCAGGACCTTCAAGGCGTTGTGGGGAGGGTGAAAGGCAGTGATCCAGGTGAAGTCCGGTAACTGTGCTTGGCTGATAACCAGAGCTCAATAACCATATTCAAGGGACTTCCCTGGTGGTCCAGTGGCTAGGACTCTGCACTCTCAGTGCTGGGGGCCCAGGTTCGATCCCTGGTCAGGAAACTAGATCCCACGTGCTGCAACTAGGAGTTCCTTACTGCAACTCAAAGATCCCTCGTGCCAGAGCTAAGGATCCTGCATGCCGGAGTGAAGACCTGGTGCAGTCAAATAAACACACAGATAGATAAATACAATTTTTAAAAAGTCAGTTAAAAAAATTCAAGAAGTATTTGGTGTGCAGCCACCCATGTGTCAGACACCACTGTAGACGGTGGGAGTAGAGCAGTGAGCAGAACTAAGATCCCTGCCCTAAGGAGCTGACATTCTGGTGAGAGGACAATTGATAAGCATGTTACTGTATCAGACAATGAGCTCTATGCATAAGGCAGGGACAGGAGTGAAGAGGCGCTGCTTTTCTAAGTGGTCCAGGAAAGCCTCACCAGGAAGGTGGCATCTGAACAGCAACTCAAAGGCAGCGGGGACGTGAGCCATGCAGATGTGTAGGATGGGGAGGGAAGACAGTGAGTGCAAAGGCCCTGAGGTGGGGACGAGGGTGACACGGCAGGGAGGGGGCAGATGCCAGACCAAGGAGGGCCCTGCAGGCGTGGGGAGGACTTCCGGCTTCTCCTCTGAAATGGGAACCCTTTAAAGGCTCTGAGCAGAGGAGGGACATGGCCTGCCTTCTGCTTTAGGGGGGTCATTCTGGCTACGTTGCTGAGAACAGACTGTGGTAGGCGGGAAGTGGAGGCAGGGAGACCACAGAGGAGGTCTGCAGATGCTCGGCCAACGGGAGATCACGATCATGGAGGCGCTGCGCTGTGAGGATGAAAAGCAGAAGCGGTGTTTCAGGTCAGTCAGACAGACTCGGGCGGAACCCCAGCTCTGCCCACTGACCGGCTGTGTGACCTTCAACAGGTCGCTTCACTGTCACCATCTGAAAAGCGGAGGTCAGGGAAATAATAATAGCTGTGCACAGAATTGGGTTTTCCCCCTTTGGTAGTTTGATTTTGAGATAATTTCAGGTTACAGGAGAGTTGCAAAGATAGAACAGAGTTCCCGAATACCCTTCCCCCAGCTTCCCCCAGTGTTAACCTCTCACAGAAGCACAGCGCATGCGGGGAAACTAAGCAGTCAGCACTGCTAACTCATCACTGAAAGTCCGTACTTCGCTCAGATCTCCCCAGTTTTTCCCTTTTCTCTTCCAGGGTCCAGTCCAGGACCAACTTTGCACGCATTCTTTTATTCCCTTAGAAAAAAAAATTTAATGCCCCCCAAAATGAAAAGAAATGTTACCTGTGCTCTCCCCAGCCCCTCAGCTCTGAGCTCTCTTGAGCCTCAGATGGACTTGCCCCGGGGGCGCCAGGAAGGGCCACCAGCAGCTCCTGGCAGGCCCTCCTTCCCGGTGGTGGAGGTCTTCTCTCTTGAATTCTAGCGCAGATCCTAAGTCTGGTACCACTGGCCCAGCCCAGGTCACCCGTCCCCTCTGAGTCCATCACTGACTGACTGGACCAGGCCGACTCCTATGACCACACTGAGGTCTGCAGGGGCTTTGTTCAGCCCCAGACAGTCCACACAGACTTCTAGTGAAGTGGAGACGGTACTCCAAAGGAAAATGGGCTGAGGGGTGATGCGGGGCAGGCAGGCTGCAGGCCAACCCCGCTCCTGTTGACGGACAGTGCGGTGGGGAGGCCACAAGGTGGCGCGCGTGAGTCGCCGCGCACCGGGTCTGGCCCCCGGGAGCGCCCCCTGGAGGTCAGCTCCCGGGTGACGTTCACAGAGAAGGTAGCCCGGAGCCCGGAGGCTGCTGGAAGGTGGACTTTGCTGCGGGCGGGAATGAGATGAGACCAGAAGTGTCCTCCTGGGTGAGCTGAGGCAAGGCCCCACGGGAGAACTCTCAGCTGCCAGGGTAGTGGTCTAAAGATCTCAAGGTTGTGTGATCAGACACACACAGACGCCCGCACACTCACACCTCTGTGCAGCTGGGTGGACGGCAGTCTTCGTCACCTCCCTAACTCGCCGCAGCCTCCTTCTGAAGGAGTTGACTGAGCAGCCTCCTCTCCCGGCCCTGCTTTTTAATTAATGAGCGGTGGCCCCCATCTGACCATCTGGACGAGATAAAAGGACCTGGGCACTGAGTTAACCCAGAGCTGAATTATTTATCGCCTACATTCCACTGGCTGTTCAAGTGATGGACAGCAAGTGACCTTGCTTGTCTCAGCTGGACCTGAGGTGCTGGAGGAAACCTCAGAGAGAGTCCAGGGCCCCCCTGGGTTCTCAACCTGAGGGAGGGGCTGGGGAGAGGGAGAGACCATTTCTGAGCTCCGACGGAGGAGGGAGTCCTTTATACTCCTTGTGGCTACCCCAGAAGTGAGCGTGTTTTTACTCCCATTTTACCAAGAGCGGGGTTCTGAAACCCAGAGAGGGGAGGGGCTTGTACAGTCACAGGCAGTGGGCAGCCGGGATTTGAACCCAATTCTGCCTGGTCTTGGTCCTGGGCCAGAGCTCTGCCAGCTCCCTTCCAGGCTTCCTTGGAGGTCCCCAGTCCAAAGGGCCACAAATAATTTATTCAACAAATATCATTGAGCCCCCAATACATGCTGGGCAGCAGGCAGGACTTGGACATGCTTCGATTTCCTTTTCAGTTAAAGGTGGGGTGATACCGGTGCCTGCTGGACGAGGGAACCTGGCACCTCCGAATTCACGGCAGCTAAAGAGAAAGAAAATCCGTTCCACTGTCACTGATGCCCCTCCCAGCTTCTGTCCCAGAGGCAACCTGAGCGGCCAGGTTCTAGAGTCTCTTTCCAGAGCCAGCCTGTGCTCTTCATATGTACATATCCCTCTTCAAATACACACACAAGCGGTCGCACACCGAGCCCCTGTCCTCCAGCTTGCTTCGGTGCATCTTGGCTCCAGACACACATTTGAATGCAGTCAGTTCCTTTTTAACCACTTCCAGTATCATCATCCTATGGATGGGTCATCCTTGATCTCACTGATCTCCTGTTGCTAGATGTTGAGGTTGCTTCCAGTCTTTTGCTGTTACTTCAGTGCTGTGATAAATATCCTTGTGCAAATGTCCTTTTGTCCACGTGCAGCTCTGTCTGTAATAGAATCGCTGGGTAAACATGACATTTGATGACTACTTAATATTCCATTATGAAGATTGGATAGGAGAGTCATTTATGGTAGATGAAAATCTTCCTCCCGAATGAAGGCTAATTTGTATTCCAGCCATGTCTAGAGTTCATTTAAGGGTACCCATACATATTTAGCCACATGCTGAATACCTGAGTGTTACTCAGCCAAGGATGCAGTCTTGGAGCAAAAAGTTTTTATCCATTTTCCTAATTACCTAACTCCTGAGAAGTTTTACATAATTTTTGTTCAGGAAACAAATAGCTTTCACGATCACCATTGGTTATTGCTGCTTTGCTATATCCACATACGATACTCAAATATTTGAAAGCAAACATTCAGATATTGTAGTAGTTCCCTATTGTTACATGACAACTGACCACAAAAACTCAGTGGCATACCCTGATGAGTGTTTATTTAACTCACCGGTCTGTGGGGCTGCTAGGAGTCAGCTGGTCTAGACTGGGCTCAACTGGACAGCTCAACTCTGCTCCATGACCTCCTCTTGGGATCAGGTGGCTCGCCAGGCAAGTGGAAATGCACAAGGTCTCTTAAGGCCTGTGTTCAGTCAGTTCTGCCTCATTCTATCGGCCAAAACACATCACACGGCTGAGCCGAAATCCATGGGACCAGGAAATACATCCTACCCCTTTAATGGAAGGAAGTACAGAGTCACATGGTTAAGAGGCATGGATGTTAAGAAGCATGGGGAGCTGGGGCTAAGGATGCATCCATCCTCAGATTTAACAATAATCTTTGTTTTTAAAGTCTTTTCTTGAATTTATTACAATATTGCTTGTGTTTTATGTTTTGGTTTTTTGCTGGCAAGGCATGTGGGATCTTAGCTTCCTGACCAGGGATCAAACCCATACCCCCTGCACTGGAAGGTGAAATCTTAACTGCTGGCCTGCCAGGGAAGTCCCAACAGAAATCTTAATTGATACACTGTGTTCTTATTATCAACATTTTCACTGATTCAGTTCAGTTCACTTCCGTCGCTCAGTCATGCCTGACTCTTTGCGACCCCATGGAATGCAGCACGCCAGGCCTCCTTGTCCATCACCAACTCCCAGAGCTTGCTCAAACTCATGTCCATCGAGTCGATGATGCCATCCAACCATCTCATCTTCTGTTGTCCCCTTCTCCTGCCTTCAGTCTTTCCCAGCATCAGGGTCTTTTCCAGTGAGTCTGTTCTTCACATCAGGTGGCCAAAGTAGTGGAGTTCCAGCTTCAGCATCAGTCCTTCCAATGAATATTCAGTACTAATTTCCTTTAGGATGGACTGGTTGGATCTCCTTGCAGTCCAAGGGACTCTCAAGAGTCTTCTCCAACACCACAGTTCAAAAGCATCAATTCTTCCGTGCTTAGCTTTCTTTATAGTCCAACTCTCACACCCATACATGACCACTGGAAAAACCATAGCTTGGACTAGATGGACCTTTGTCAGCAAAGTAATGTTTCTGCCTTTTAATATGCTGTCTATGTTGGTCATAGCTTTTCTTCCAGGGAGCAAGCATCTCTTAAGTTAAGATTTCACCTTCCAGTGCAGGGGGTATGGGTTTGATCCCTGGTCGGGAAGCTAAGATCCCACATGCCTTGCCAGCAAAAAAACCAAAACATAAAGATGCTGCAAGCATCTTCCAGCAAGCATGGCTGCAGCCACCATCTGCAGTGATTTTGGAGCCCCCCCCAAATAAAGTCTGTGACTGTTTCCACTGTTTCCCCATCTATTTGCCATTAAGTGATAGGACTGGATGCCATGATCTTAGTTTTTTGAAAGTTGAGTTTTAAGCGACTTTTTCACTCTCCTCTTTCACTTTCATCAAGAGGCTCTTTAGTTTTTCTTCCTTTTTCTGCCATAAGGGTGATGTCATCTGCCTATCTGAGGTTATTGATATTTCTCCTGGCAATCTTGATTCCAGCTTGTGCTTCATCCAGTCCAAAATTTCTCATGATGTACTCTGCATAGGGTGACAATATACAGCCTTGATATACTCCTTTCCCAATGTGGAACCAGTCTGCTGTTCCATGTCCAGTTCTAACTGTTGCTTCTTGACCTGCATACAGATTTCTCAGGAGGCAGTTCAGGTGGTCTGGTTAGCTATGGAGATTCACTCAAATCACTGTGAATAGTTCACTGATAAGCTGCGGAGATTACCTGTGTGACCTCAGCGCATTTTGCTCAAGGTCAGGGATGCCAAGAACGGCCTTGCAGTAGGCACGGGGCTATGCCCAAGCCGCAGGGCATGTTTGAGCCATGTCCTGAGCTGAAGGTAGACATGAGTCATGTGGGGGGTGAGGTGGGGTGGGGTGGGAACCCAGGCTTCCCAACCCCTGTACCTGGGCCAGGGCTGTGTCCACAGCACAGACCAATCAACTCTCACCCCAGCTTTGCCCTCTGGGGCGTCTTCTCATTGCAGGGGAACATGGGTCCTGCTGCCTTCTGGCTCCTGCTCTTTCTCCTCAAGAACCCCGAGGCCCTGGCCGCCGTCCGTGGAGAGCTTGAGACTGTCCTCTTGGGAGCAGAGCAGCCCATTTCGCAGATGACCACCCTCCCACAGAAAGTTTTGGACAGCATGCCTGTGCTGGGTGAGACAGACCCTCCAAGAGAGCTCCAAAGGCCGTAGTGTCATGGGCACCCCCAAAACCCTTCCTCCCCATCATGGGTTCCCATCAGTTCCTCTGACCTAAGGTCCCCCTGGGCCTCCTATCTTCACAGACCTGGTGTCGCCACACCCCAGTCTTCACTACCTGAGTCTCATGGTCTAGTAGGAGGCTTTTGGTTGCAGGAGGCAGAAAACCTAGCTTAAATGGGCTGAAGCAGAAAAGGGATTTCAATGGGGGCAGGTAACTAAAAAGTCTAGAGGAACTAGCTCTGGACCCAGGTAGATCCAGGCGGTTTAACGACACCCTCAGGTCTCAGTCTGTCTCCGTCCTCAGCTCCATTTTCCACTCCAGTCTCCAGCTGGCAAGATGGCCGCCAGTGGCACCGGGTTGCCTGCCCAGGGAGGGTGTGCGTCTCTGCCACGGTCCTAGCCAAAGTCCCAGGAATGGCTCTCATTGGCTCTCTTCAGGTCATGTGCCCATCCAGAGCCAATCATGAGGCCCGGAGGGCTGGGCTGCTCTGATTAGGCAGTTGCGGCGCATCCCAGGTGTTGGGTGTGGAATGCGCAGCACAGGCCCTGAGCGGGTAGCGGGGTGGTCCCCGGAAGAAAACGGAACTGTTTCCAGAAGGAGGACATCTGCTGGGCAGGCGGACACAGCCAAACCCCGCTGTCTCCCCAGCCCTCTCAGATATCTGCCTGGCTCCCAACTTCCCGGGCAGCTTCTTTTAGGCTCAGACCCAGAATTTCATGTCCAAGGTCTCTGCGGCAAACGCCTCTCATCTCGCGGCCGGTTTTGGCCTGGCTTTGTGATGGCGGGAGAGCCACGCACCGTCTCTCAGTCTCTGCACCTGCCACTGTCAGATGAGGGCCGGCGGGTGGCATTTCAGTGGTGGTGGGGGGGACGCTGCTGACCGCCCCCGCCTTGAACCTGCCCCCATGCAGACAGCGTGCTGAGTGAGAGCCTCAGGCTCACCGCTGCGCCCTTCATCACCCGCGAAGTCGTGGCCGACCTGGCCTTGCCCATGGCGGATGGGCGGGAATTCAGCCTGCGACGTGGGGACCGCCTCCTCCTCTTTCCCTTCCTGAGTCCCCAGAAGGACCCGGAGATCTACACAGACCCGGAGGTAAAAGGCATACCAGGGGTCGTGGGGGGAAATGAGTGGATTCACGTTCTGCCCAGTCTCAGCGGCAGCCCGTCGGGCTCTTTACTTGCCGTGGATCCTTGCCCAGATTACTGTCACCTCTGTGTGTGTTTCCTCACCTGTGAAATGGACCTCGTGGTAGCACCTACTGCCATGGGGTTGTCAGGAAGATTACATGTGATTATGTTAAGAAAGAGCTTCACAGCACCTGGTAGACACTTAAGCACTGTGCAAGGGCCAGCTGAGCAATTTTTCCTATTTTTAGCATCTTATAATGTTAGCTTCTCAACGCTTTTCCTTCTCCCTAGATTTCAAAATGTGGCAGACTCACGATTTCAAACAGTTGCGATGTTTACTGTGTGCCGTGTTCTGTACTGTGCGTGCATGCATGCATGCACCCACCACCTATCCTTCCATCCCTGCTTGCATCTACTATCCATCCATCCCTGCATCCCTCCTTCCGTGTATACATCCATCCACCATCCGTCCATGCATCCACCCATGCATGCAGCAGTCATCAACTCACTCTGCCATCTGTCTGTCCACTGGTCCAGTCACCTGTCCTTCCACCTACTCTGTACAAAAAGCCGCGTGCTCAAATACACTCTTCACGTTACCACTCTACACTGTAACCAGAGGAAACTGGCATTCTCTTTTGTAAAAATAATTTTAATTTCATTTATTTTAAATTATTTTATATGTAAAATAATATATACTTTAAGACAGAAATATAGACATATATACATTTACAAATAAAAATCTGTCTTCATTCCCCTTCCTCTCCAGCTCCTCAGGGTTGCCTAACTGTGGTTGGGAGTGTGTCCTTTATATATTTATGTCATTTTACAGACACACAACATGCTCACACTCATGTGAATAAGTATGTGTTTATATATTCACAGAATCACACAATATTATGACACTTTCTTTTTCACCCAACAACCAGTCTTAAAAGTTCTTTCCAATGTCAGCACACACAGACCAAGCTCAACCTTATCATTAGCTGCCATCATTTTTAACCAGTTCCCATCAGTTGAGCTTTACATTGTTTCCACTGTTTCTTTCTTATAAACAAGACTGTGATAAACATCTTCAGACATTTGTCTCCATACATCCCTATTTTGGGGATGGAGTCAGAAAGGGACCTTCTTCCTGTTTCAGGTGTTTAAATACAACCGATTCCTGAACCCTGATGGATCAGAGAAGAAAGACTTTTACAAAGATGGGAAGCGACTGAAGAACTACAGCCTGCCCTGGGGAGCGGGGCACAACCAGTGCCTGGGGAGGGGCTACGCCATCAACAGCATCAAACAGTGAGTGCCGGGCACGCGGAGCCCCGGGCCCCATAAATTCTCTTCCCTGGACCCCGTGCACTTTCCCCTCAGATAACAAACCAGGGGATGACATCCACCTTCTGTTGAGCTGGGTCATCTCTGCCTCTGTCTCCGCAACTGTAAAATAGGGGTACTGATCATCTTACATCCCCAGGGGTGTCAGGACGAGTAAGTGGGACCTTTCTAGGTACTTCAGCCACTGCCTGGCTCATTGTAGGCTTTTAATACAGGTTCTTATTGTAATTACTACTATTACCACTTTTATGTGCAGGCATTATGCTAGTGAATGGGCATATTCCATTAACCTTTGGCCTCAGTTTTCGCAGCAGTAAAGTGGAGATCATTTACAGTTGGTTCCACTCTAAAACTTCCAGTGCATTCTTGAAAATCCCTGCGCTGTGGGCAACCACACAATAAAAATCACACGGCTGTGGTGGAGATAGGGCCGGGCCCAGCACTCAGAAACCTTGTCAATGACGCAAAAAGACAATGCGCCCTGGAAAATATGGCAGCACAGGTTTATTGTTGTTCAGTCGCTCAGTCGTGTGGCCTCTTTGCGACCCCAGGGACTGCAGCACGCTAGGCTTCCCTGTTCATCTCCAACTCCCCGAGCTTACTCAAACTCATGTCCATCAAGTTGTTGATGCCATCGAACCATCTCATCCTCTGTCGTCCCCTTCTCCTCCCACCTTCAATCTTTCCCAGCATCAGGGTCTTTTCCAATGAGTCAGTTCTTCACATCAGGTGGCCCAAGTATTGGAGCTTCAGCTTTAACACCAGTCTTCCAGTGAATATTCAGGGTTGATTTTCTTTATGATTTACTTTAGGGCCCTACCACAGGTTTACACATGTTAAATGGAATAAATAGAAACACCTAAGTGGTACAATAAATACAGTGCTTTACTTTGGCCATGATCTGACGTTTGCCATGGAAGTGGGCAGTGGATGGAGCTGTGAGTCACACTGAAGCCTGGGAGGCGGTTATCTGAGGTTGGACACCTGATGGGAATGGTGTTACTCTTCACCCACCTGGTGTACTGAGGTCTCTGGGGGACAGAGTTTAGGTGTGTGCGTTTTGTGGATTCCTGCTCAGCTTCATTCAGCTGGGTGTAGTTTTTCATTCTCTTAGTGTTTCTTGCGGATGAAGTGACCACAGGCAGATGTGAAATTTGTGTTACGCTTCATTCACACCCTGATGGATAAATCCCACTGAAACGAATTCTCGTGTTCAAAACAAGTGTTACAGCAGAACTGACTGTAGTTCCTACTTCAGAAGGTTTTTGGACAGATGAAAGAGAAAATGGATAGGAAATGCTTAGCAAAGTGTCTGGCACATTGAGTTCAGTAAGGTTAGCTAATCTGTTATTTTTGTCTGTTCATCATCATGATAACTAACTCTACAGGTCAGAGCATTCCTCACGGTCAGAAACCTGGTGAATGAAGGTGCCAGGCTCCAAATCCGGGTGTGGGTACAGATCCCCCAACACAGTGGCATAAACTCACCCTCTACCACTCTACAGCTTCAGAGCTGGAAGGAACACAGCTCACCCCTTTGACCAGATGGGGAAACTGAGGCCCAGAGTGGGAAGGAAACCTGACAGGAGTCACACGCCCTTAAGAGGCAGAGCCCAAGTCAGCGCCCAGCTCCCCTGCCCAGAGCGCTGACACTGCTCTGTCCTCATCTTCCCTCTTTTTCACGCATTTAGTCAGATGAAAGGGTCTTCCCTGCCGTGTGTTGTGCCAGCATTGGGTGCCCGGGTGGCGGTGGGGGACGGTGATGATAGGGCCCAGAGGAGCAGAGGATCAGGCTGACCCTAACTAACAGAGGCGGTGGTAAGATCCGGCTGGCGGAACCAGCCCACACTGTGGGGCGGGTGGGCCGCCACCCCTCTCACGGGCCCACTGATTGCATCGTCACACGGTTCGTGTACTTGTCAGGATAGCGCTCCAGGCGATGGCGGTGCCTGCTGTGCGTCCCGCTCTCCCAGCGTCCCCACGGCTGTCTGGAGGAGGGGTGCCCGCTTCTGACCTTACGAAGGTGGCTGTGGTTTAGCAGGCAGTCAGGGTTCCAGGAGTTCGCTGGGACCTGGGGTGAGGATGGTGGGAAGAGCCAGGAACCGTCAGTGTCCGTACTAACCAGGAGAAGCTCAGTTCTGCTGTTGTGGCAGATGACCCCCAGGCCGATCCCCAAGCTTGCACAGGTGCGGTTCCCGCTCACACGACGCCAGCTCTGGGTTTGGGGGGCGCTCTTCCCCTCCATGCAGGGACTTGGGGGCCAGGTTCTTCCCACCTTCCAGCTCTGTCATCTCAACGTGAAGCCCAGGCAGCCGAGAGAGCTAGAGAGCGGGGCACTGGCTCTGAAATGCTTTCGTTGGAATTGTCACTCCTGCCCACAGCCTGTCAGCCAGGACTCGGAAGCGTGTGGCCTTTGTGCTCTGCTCTCTCACCCTCCTTTCCCAAGTTTCCCAGAGTGAGAGCTGGGGTCAGACCAGGAGGAAGCCCTTGCTTTCCTGCCTCTGAACGGACGCCCCCCTTTCCCCCTTCACGCCTCCGACACCATCTCTCCCTAGATTCGTGTTCCTTGTGCTGACGCACTTTGACCTGGAGCTGATCACCCCGGACGTGGACATCCCCGAGTTTGACCTCAGCAGGTATGGCTTCGGGCTGATGCAGCCAGAACACGACGTGCCCATCCGTTACCGCCTCCGGCCGTGAGCGCCACACGCCCAGCCTACCCCATCACCCAACTTCCCATGCCTGCGTTCAGCCTGGGTGCCGGGCTTTGAATATCCAACAGTGCCAGCATTACCCCTTCCCTGCTGTTCTTCAGAAGACTGTGCCTGGGGGCGGGGCCGGGGGGTGGGGAGAAGAGGAGTGAAGGAAAAGACACCAAAAGATGCACAGATTATCTGCGTCAAAGTTCCGACATGAGACTCTTTCTGCTCCCAGCTCCTCCCACCTTTATGAAATCCACTAAAGCTACGGGTGTGTGTGCTCAGTCGTTCAGTGGTGTCTGACTGTGGCCCCATGGACTGTAGTTTGCCAGGCTCCTCTGTCCACGGAAACATTCCAGGCAAGAATACTGCAGTGGGTTGCCATTTCCTGCTCCAGGGGATCTTCCCAACCCAGGGACCGAACCTGCATCTCTTGCATCACTAGCATTGGCAGACGGATTCTTTATACTGCGCCACCTAAAGCTGCAGCAGACAGGTCAGACTAAGAGACCTCCTCACTGCTCTGTCACCAACCCCCAAGGGACCGCCATCCAGTGCCCTGGGTGTGGTCCAGGCTATAACAAGTCAAAGCAGACGCTGGCCATAAAAAGGCCATTCAGGGTCTAGCAGTACATCTATTGATATAAATTCTGTCCCTGAACTGTTATTAAACTACCTAAAAGCCAAAGAGTCTCTTAGCATATCTGCTTTCCTGGGTGCCCCCTTCACTAGACACCTCCCCCATCTCTCTGTTCACACCGATCCTTGAGAAAACGCAGGAGGGTTTCCCGAGGCTGGAGCTCCCACGGTGCGGGCCGGGGGCGGCCTCTGGATGTTGAGCTCCGAGGAGCAGGCTTCTCAGCGTTGAGTTCCGGGCTCCACATGGGACGGGCTGTCCCAGCGCTGGGACTCAGGCAGGGAATTAGCCGGACACAGCCCAGACAGGGTGGCCCCCGTGAAAGCAAGCAGCCAGGACTCCTGGGGCTGGTGGAGCCACACAAGAGGAGACCTTGGTTTCCTCCATTCTAGCTCAGGAGCTCCAGCTCTGGGCCCCATCCAGATTGCAGGCCTGTTAGGTTTGACCCACATTTATAGAAAATACCATAGTGTTGCCTTGGCATCTTTGGAAGAGTTGATTGAAAATGTCCAACTTCTCTTGAAAACGTGAAAGATCTGTCCACACTGGGCCCGTGTCCCGAGGGCCACCATTAGCCAGAGCTGAGTGGCAGTCGTCTCCCTTAGCTGAAGCCCATGCGCTCTGGGTCACCAGCATTTCTGCTTGGTCTGCTTTTCCATTCACAGTACCTCCTGCCCACCGAAGGCACCGAAGTTTGAGAACCTTGTTCCTACTCTTAGAGGTGGTATTGTAGGAGGTGGTGGATTGTTTCTCAGACCAACGGTCCTTTCTATTCTGGGTGCACCACCCTTTGATCAAACAGATCAGTGATGAAAACTTGCTTTTGCATTTAGGGAAGAAAACAAAAGATAGATCAAAGAGAAAAATTGCCTAGAAGCCGTTATTAGGATGATAAGTATTCTTGTTAATATTAGGTCCTGTTTATTGAAGACCCTGTAAATGCCTGTGACAGGAACAGTTTCTATTTTGATGGCATCTCTGGGAAGAGAGGATGGTTGCACGCTCTTTATAAATGAGGAAATGGACTTCAGAGAGGTGAAGTGACCTGCCCAGGGTCACACAGCTTACAAGCTAATAGAATTTCACAGACAGACTTACTCTCCCAGCAGCAAATGCTAGATGGACAGCTCTGTGCTCCTTGAGCTCAGAGGGGTGGTGGAGGGGCAGTTCTGTTTGGCATCAGACCGCAGACAGAGCCAGAGGCACCCATGGGTGGATGGAGACACGCATACACACATAACTATGTCTCTGTAGCTTCAGCTGGAGGGATAAGAGAAGACCTGAGATCTCTGACTGTTCTGGGGTCCAGTCTCTTCTCAGGGAGGCACCGGGGCTCGGGGCCTTCCCTGGCCCCCTAGCCCCCAGGCGGCCCCAGGATTCCCAGACAGTCTTTGTGATTGGCAGGAGGCAGGATATCCCCAGGGAAACCCATCTTCACGCCTGGGTGACCCCCGCTGCCCCGCTTCTTGACTCTGCAGGAAATAGGAGCTGGCAGCCTCCTGAGGGAGGAGGAGCCGGTTTCCATGGCAACCATCAGCTGCCTCATCCTGACTTGGAGGGGAAGGAAGGAGGCCGGCAGAAATAGCTCCGGGAAGATCTCTGGCGCGTGGCTTCCACCCTGATGTGCTCGGGAAAAGCCCTCTGATTATCCCCTTCCACATTAGGGCTGCTTTGTCGCTGAGACTAGATTCTCACCCATATTCAAAAGAGAGCCTGTTTCCTTTTAAAGGGGACACCACCTGGAAGCCACAATCATTAGGAAGAGACAATTCTCCCACCAGGCAGCCCCAGCTGGTATTGGAGATATTGAAGTACAGCTTGGGAGAAAGTGCTTTGAACCCACCTTTGTTTTCATCTTTTTTATTTTTTCTTTTTTTCCTTTCTTCTAAAAATACTGAGGTCGGAAATACCTGGATGTTGACCTAACGGAGTGTTTCTGTACCACCATCATGATTATTATGTTTTGCTGTATTTTGTATTGTTGTTTACCAGTTTGTTTCCTTTAAGTGGTCTCATTTTTTAAAACTTAAATTCGTTTAAAAAGGGAGCTTTTTTCCCACTGCCGGTAACTGACAACATGTATCACTTGCTGCCAAAAATAGAAGGTGACTGTGAAACATAAATCTGCTGGGGAGGGGTCCCCTGTGCGGGTGTCACCAAGGCTCAGAGCCTGAGCTGTGTCTTGTGAGCTACAGAACGGAACAGACAAGTGTTTGAGCGGCGTTAAGGCCAGCTGCACCCTGAGACTTGGTCCTCGGCAGTCACGGGGTGAAGGGGACAGGAAGAGGGGTAAGGTGCCCACCCCACAGGGGTGCCTCACGCCCAGTGTGAGGGCCACCCCGGATCATCTCCCACCGGTGCTTCCCACCCACAGTGAGCGGGGGACCTCCCGCCTGCCCATTCTCCAGATGGAGAAACCGGCCCTGGGAGTTGAATCTTCTGGCCCAACGACATTAATCTGAATGTTTTTTGTTGTTGTTTTTAAAGACGGTGTTTCGTGAGTAGCAGCGATTGTTCCACCTTGCTGTTTTAATAAAGAATTCTATTTTTACATGATATTGTTGAGCGGAAATGTGCTGAAATACATCAAATCATCCTTGTTTGTGGGACTGCCTCTGACTGTGAGTCAGATTGAGAGTCGAGTGTCGAGAGACGAGGTTGGCGCCTGGGAAGGGAATGCAGCACCTGGGTGCCTGGCGCTGGGACACAGCCTTTCATGGACAGAGTCAAGTCACACCCCAGCCTCCCCTCAAGTGACATTACCATCTCCATTTTAGAGGAGGAAACGGGGTCAGAGAGTGAAGTGGCTGCTTGGGATCACATGGTTAATAAGTAGTAGACCCGGGCGGGATTCAATCACAGGCTCCCTGCCTCCTGAGACCAGGCTCAGAATCTATCAACAATCCCCCTGAGGGCGGAGGGACCAGGTGTCCATAGAGGACCTTGGGGAAGAGGCTCACCACCCAAAGTAAAGCAAGCAGAGAAAGTCTCTTACAAATCTGCCACATGTTCCCTATGCTTCATGTAAATATATGCATTTGTTTTAATATTTAAAAGAAGGGGAGAGAAGTTTTTTTTTTTTTGGCCACACCTCGAGGCATGTGGGATCTTAGTTCCCTGACCAGGCATCAGACCTGTGCCCCTTGCAGTGACATGCAGAGTCCTAACCATTGAACCACCAAGGAATTCCCAGGGAGAAATTAATTAAAATAGCGTTGGGAAAACTTGAAAAGGGAAAATTGCTTTTTTTTTTTTTCTCAAATCTTTGAGTGAAAATACTGTCCTGAGGCAGATATCTCTCATATCAGTTTCCTCATCTGTGCGGGGCCACGGAGGCACATTTGGTGGGATTGGATTGGGCTGTGACAGACGTCTGAAAGTTACACAGCAGTACTTTATGCATTAAGATGTTTATATTCAATACAGCAGACATCGCTTTTGCTCTCACACAGATACAGGAGATCAGAGGTGGAGTGGCATTTCCACAGTCACCAGGCTCTTCCTTTTGGTCCCTCCAGCATCTGTAACCAGTGCTTTCTACCTCTGGGTCCAGGATGGCTGCTTGAGCTCCTGCCATTTTGTCCACGTTCCAGCCAGCAGGAAGGAGAGAGGAGCAAAGAAGAGAAAAATCTGCTTCTATCTCATTGGTCACAATTGAGTTGCATGACACTCCTTACTGCATAGGAGACTGGGAAATGTAGTCTTTCTCTCCAGAAGACCAACGTGTGCCTGAGGAGGGGCACTGCACCCCAGCTTGAGAAGTGCTGTGTTACGCTCTCTTGTTTACCAGTCCTGGTCTGAGCCACAAGCAGGGCCAGAGGGACAACAGTTGGCTTCTCTGAGCCATTGACTTTATCAGCAGTCTGCAGTTCCAGGGTTTTGACTTTTTGGATTCTGTTGCATAAAAGTTAACAGAAAGACTCCAGAGTTTTATTTTGCCAGGTAAGAACATTAAGAAATGCATTTGGCACTTCCATTATCAGTCTATGAATGGACATTGAATACCCCTAACACAGAAAAGTAGGTTCCATGTCAGAATTAAACAGTCACTCAAGAGTCAATATTAAATAACTCCAAAGTGGAAACAGCCCAAATGTCCTTCAACTGATGAGTGGATAAACACGATGTGGTATATTCATACAGCAGAATGCTAATTGTCAACGAAAAGAAACGATGTGCTGTTCCATGGTACAATATAGATGAATCTTAAAAACATACACCTAGCCTAAGAAGCCAGTCACAAAAAGCTACATATTGTATAATTCCATTCATATGAAATGTCCAGAATCGGTAAGTCAATAATGGCAGAAAGTAGGTTAGTGGTTTCCAGGGGTTAAGGAGCGGAAGTTATGGTGAGAACAAGA